ATTGCCCCTACTGCCATTTTTAGACCCCAACATCCGCCGTCCTTTGCTCTGCGATTCGTCACTACTTGTATTCTTCATATTTCCTTTTCCAACTCCTTGGGAATTATCTGGAAAAGTTGCTTGAAGGTCATCAATTTTCCCCTCACCTGCTGCTGCGCTCAGACTCGGGTGTATTACCACCGCCGCCACACTTAAGCGAGTCATATCAAGGAATCGCACCACAGGACTATAGCCCAATACTATAAATAAATTACGCTCCACCAAAGGAATAATACGTGTGATGGCGCTTGTACTCTCAACTTGCACAGCGTGACGGTGTACGGGTGAATTTGCTAATCGTGCCTCCTCACCAATGGTTTGCAATTTTCGTGTAAGGCATAATGCTCGTGTAATAATGCCAAGTTGAAGAAGCTTTGTCGCCTCCTTCTCAGTGGTCGCCGGCTTTGGCAATCGTGTACTGGTGCTTCCAGAACCCAACCCAGGTTTCGTAATAATGGGAAAACGTACAGAGTTCGCGGTGTCAGTTCTACTAATTCGAGTTAGACCAATTGCTAGAGTTAGAGGAGCCATTGCTGATTTACGAAGGGCATTTAACAACTTCTTCTCCCTATCTAATGTCTGTATGACAGGCTGCTGTGAAACCGTACGTCCTTTAAAGCCAACGATAAAGCCGTTTTCGCCCGTAACAAAAACATCCTCTCCCTGCACATTACGTCCTGGAGCCGACCAAATATGCCGTACCCATCCGTTGCAAGTAAATATTTGTTGTTCAACATACTGCGGCAGTGCAGCACGAGAAGACAAATCTACAAACTCCAAACACGACCATACTTTTACAGTGCCATCTACTCCACCACTGATCAGTAATTCACAGTGCATGGCAAGAGAGCTAATCGCACACTTATGGGCATGAGAAAGACGCTGGGTCAAACGCCGCGTATACACATAAGCAGCAAATTGCCCTGTAGGGCGCATGTTTTTCGCCTCTTCATCTTTCATATATCTTTCTCTCAGCGCTCCTCGGTATCGTTGATGCAAATCCCATATAAACAATGTGCCATCCACCCCACCAGATATTGCAAGATCATTAAGGGAATCATACACTAGAGAGCAGACTCCACCAACATTATGATATCCCAGCAACAACACACCACGAGGGGCTTTCTCACTCCCAAATTGAAAAATCCCATGCTCCTGGGTATATCCGTCATTCTCTGAAGGATTAGCTTTCTGCTGCTCCTCGGCAACGGATGAGAAAGCGTCCGAATCTTCAAAAGATGTTTCTCCATCAATGTCAAGTCTATTTTCCATATATAAACGTTGATCTCGCGTTGAAGCTGTTTGGTAATAAAGACGACTTCGGATATCAGCGGCGTAGGAACGCAAATTAACAAGCACCACTGCCCCAGTACTGTACCCCCACAGCGACTCTCGTTCTTCCATTGTGACGTCACTTGACAAAGTCCATTGAAGAGATTGCAATTGCTCTTTTCCTGCGTCAATTTTCTGCCCCGTCATTTCATCATTATTGCAGTTCAAAGACTTTCGCACAAATTCGACAGCAGTCAGATACGATGCAGTTGCTTCTTCAAAAATAAATTCATCACATTCCTTCGGAAACTCGTTTCCCATTTTCGCAGAAGACGACGGTACGGCTGATAATGGAGACACGGTGTTCGCTTGGCACTTCGTCTCCGTCGTCGCCGCCGCCTTCTTCGTAAACCGTTGGGTAGCCGAAATTGGCCTCCTAATGTTTTCCCACGGCACGGGCGGTCGCTTCACATCCTCCCTAATCAGAGACCACGTAAACTCGTCATTCGCCGTAACAATGTTATCCTTCTGTGTAACAAAAGGTGGTAATTGAGGTCTCACTCGCGGTGAAATGGCGTCTAGCAGAGACGCTGTTGTAAAACCTGACAGATGAAATTTCCCTGCATGCTCCTTCAGAAGCAATTCTGGGGGCACACGCGGATAGTACTGTTGCCGCACCACCGTTACCGAGATGGGAAGCGGTGCCCCGTTATTGCCGCTCTGCATCCTCTCCAAAAGAGAACAGGGCCAAGAGGCGATCTACAAAAAAAACTTCGTTCCCCTTTTTTTTTCTCTCGTTGTTTTGTTCTCCCAAATATACTTCTGGCTGGGGCCCTATCCCCTCCACCCCCTTATATTCCTCCAAATTGACATACACACAAGAAAGGAAAGAAAGAAATAAAGAAAAAGATGGCAGTTTGTTTCAGTGCCCCCCAGTATTCCTCCCCCCTAAACTCGTCGAGAGTTTATCCCACAAAAACAAATAAAAATCATGTATGTATATATACATATCAGGTAATCAATATATATATATATATAAGGGGAAATCAACAAGACGCGCCGTCATTCAATGAGCTCCAACAGGTCATAGATTCTTTCACTCGCCCTTGGTCCACCCCCCGTATGCGCCCCCTTGATACGATCATATTCCTACTTTACTCGTATCCTCAACAACTAAACATATAAAAGGGGAGGGAAGGGAAACAAATTTATCGAGGGTAATTTACGTAAACGACAATAATAATAAAAAAAAAGTACCTCATTGTGTTAAGAAACTGCTAAAAATTCATTTTTCAGAAACTTAATATAAGCATCCCCTTTCCCGAATATCCCGTCAAGGATGAGCATGCTTCTAATGGAATATCACTGCGCATTCCAACACAGCCCTCCTTTTTCCCCGTATCCAGCAGATGGATTAATCACCGTTCTGAATAATATTGTCGTTCCCTTTCGCTCTCACTATGTCCGCATATGGTTGCATGTACTTTCATGGGCTCTTAGCGGGGCGACAAGCCACCACTTCTACAACCTCTCTGCCTCCCCATAAAAGCGCAGTAATTGCCATATGCGGCTTCCCATGAGAAAACAGCAAGGCACTTACGTAAAAGAGAACATAAACAAACAGTTAAAAACCTCCTAATGTTCCTCCTCACACCCATTCTCTCTTTGCACAGCCATCATAACAAGCCCCTAAACACTTTTTATTTTTCCTCTTCCTCCCACTTCATTGCCTGTTATTCAATCCGCTTCTCCCCAATTCAGGCGGGTTCCCTCCGTCTCTTCGCACAAAATGACCCTCTCAAACTGATCATGTATTCCACCACCTGCCCACCCACAGACGCGCAGACAGAGGAGCACTTCTCTCCTAAATTCCGCCCGCATCCTATAGCATGAACAATCCCACGTCACTTGGCCGCACAATAGGGTACGACCAGTTGTAGAAGTAGTAGTGCAGATTACCATCTCCTCGACCAAACTTGAGTTCGCTTAGATAATCACCATTGTCCATAATGTTCACAACGTTACAAACATCAAAGCCTTGTTGATGCGCTACAATCAAAAGATCGCTCATTAGATGCACAAGAGAAATTGTTGTGTTGGCGCTGTAAAACACATAGGCTGCATTTAAAACGGAATGTTTGCTACTGCCAATAATAGAAGATGGAAGTGAGAAGAATGAAAAGAAATCTGTAATTTGCTTCTGTGTCCCAGCATCATTCTGTTTGCCGCGGCTACTATCAACCCTACCACCACCACCACCACTGACTTCACGCTCTACCACGTAGCTCATCAAAACACCCTCACGGGGCAGAGTGTAATGAGCCACCTCCTCATCGGTAAATACGGGGGCAACGTCACATGTGGCAAGTTTCTTTCGCAGCAATTTCGCTACTTGTGGCGCGTCCTTTGGTTCCATTGGTCGAAGACCACGTGTTTTCGGTTTAGCGGGAAGTTCATAAAAGCGTTTTATCATGGACAATGGGTTTTGAAACTTTTGGTATTGCTGCGGTATCACGCTAAATCCAACCGCCACAAGCTTTTCTGGGTTCAAGCTGCGATGGTAATAGTCGGCGGTCGCAAACGGTGTCGGCAGTAACCTGCCAGCAGTATAGACAGCCTGCCAAATGTTCATCAGATGCACCCGACGTGTTACCTCCTTAATGAGAATCGGTGCCAACCGCTTCGCCCGCAATAACTTATGCACGCAAAGAAAATTGATCTCGCAGATCTTACGAGGTTCGAGGTAATGCTCCTCCGCTTGACTCTTATGATCATTATTCTTCTCCTCCGGCCCCTGCTCTTTTTCTTCAGTGGTCTTGTTTTTCTGGAGTACCTTCTTTGGGACGCCCATACGCATTGTAACTGGGATGCCAGAGACAAACCCCATCAACATTTGGTCACGCTTACGCCGGACCGCCACATGCCATGAGCTATGATACCCCGGCGGGGTAAGCGCCCAGCGCAAAAAATCCTCTGAATAGTTAAATCGGAACATGCTCTCAACATCCTCAACGTAATTATCGCGCAGCAGCTCGTATATGGCACGTACATCATCTTTGTTATCCATGTCTGGGGACCACCACTCCAGTGTTGAGGCGATTGCCACCGGATCGGTGGGAACATCATCGACGGTCCCCGCTGCTTCCAGCGGCCCCACCGTATCGGCCGCATCAGTACTCGACTGCGGGACAGGCTGCGTGTTCCAGAACTGATGTAAACCTGAACCCTCTTCTGCCATTCTTTCAAAAGGCGATCAAGTCCAAAATTACTCTTCTATTTAATACGTCCCTACAGGAACCAAAAAAATAAATAAATAAATAAATAAAGTTCGAATATATTATATTAGATAAATAGATATTCGTTCTTCCTAATCCCTTCCCCGTCAGCAAAGCAATACAAAAGAACAAACCAAAATGTTTGCGACGACAGATGTGTAGATCTCTTCAAACACAAATACATAAACGCACTCAGACAAGGAGATAGTCAAGGAGCACAAAAGAAAAAAAAAACATCGACAATGCACACCATTGGTTACGGACAGATATCCCTCATGCAGAGTCTTCACTATGGTACCACGGAGTTTCACTTCACCCATTCCAATCCCCTCTATGCCCCAACCCTTTGTTTTGATTTTCACCACATTTTATCCCTTTACTTCGCCTATTCATCCATTTTTGTTGTTGAGAAGATCACTGCACAAAGTCAGGCATCTCCGGCATGTCGAGCAGATCCTCTAATATGCGGGCGGCCACTAGCAACTGCAACCAAAACCACCATTCCCGTCGTCGTCGTGCCTCTTCTGGAGACACCCACCATATCTCTCGGTCCACCGGTACAGACCGCCGTGTCTCATGGGTCTCCTTCAGCACAACGATGCCGCCCGCTTGCTTCACCAATTGCTTCACTTCTCCTTGCAAAACATCTGGGTCCACAGCCTCCCGACTTAAAATACGCCCCTCCTTTAATTGCTGCTGCAAAGACTCATTGAGGTCACATATGCCAGAAGCAACATTCCTCTCCATTTGCTCACGGAATCCTCCTGCAAAGGAAGCTCCATCAGTGAGACGAACGGTAATGAAAGGATCTTGACTTCTCGCGGATTCATGGCGTTCAGACGTTACTGCCCCCGCGTCTGTATCATGCGACGAGGTCAATGATGATGATGATGATGTCAAAATTACACTTGAATGCGTGCATTGCGGGGATTTGCGCGCCGCAGGCGTCCCATGTGGCATCCGACGCGGTAACTCCACACGCTGAAGGTATTTCTTGTCCCATTTTGGTATATGCCGCGTGTAGAAAAACCATCGGCGAAATTCCGACTGTGACTTACGCCGAAACCGTACAAAATGCTTGTGACGAAAACGAGCGTAGCGTGGGTAGAGCCCCCACCAGGCCCAAGCAAGGAGCAACGTTCCAGACGTATATAAATAGTTGGTGTACAACCGGCCGACCGCACCAAGCAGAGCGTCGGCTGCCTGCTGAAAAGGGTTTTCGTTCTCCCTTGCGATCGACTCCATAAAGGCATTCTCACGGGCCTCCAGCACTTTGTCGTGGGTGGTGCGAACCTCAATCTGCCTCAACACCATCTTTTTCTTCTCCCCCCTTTCTTCCTTCCACACGCTCCGCTTCTTCCCGCAACGCCCCACGAGTCGTCTGTACGATATCCTGCAGACCCCCCGCCCCAAAGTCCGGTCACCCTTTTTGCCTCCTCCCGATGTGTGTGGCACCGAGAAGATATCCCCAGATAAGACTTTCCCCAAACACAGTCAAAATTACAATAAGAAAAAATAACAAATAAAATAAATAAACAGAGTAGCTGACGGTATTCAATAAAAAATATTTTTCGTTTTTCCCCACAATACTCTGTTTGCAGCAGAAAAAAAAAAAAGGATGAGAGGGGGCGTCGTGGTGGTGCCTGAGTTGGATGGGATGTAGGAATAAAAGGCGATAACGACTGAACAAACAAAGAACCAACAACAACAAAAATAAATAAATAAATAAATAAAACGTCATTGCGAACAGCAAACAAACACGGCCAAGCACAACACGCACAAAATGTTGTGCCCTCCCCTCCCACACTTACAATTTACGAGGCTCTTTGTCCATCAGCACTATTGGTTGCAGAATTAGGAGCTTGTTCGTCTCCCCTATTCCCCCATTTACAAGCATCTCCTCAAGAATAAAGTGAGCCTTCTCGACATTAAACATGACATCAAGCTCACAGACGTTCTCAAAGTATTTATCAAATGTCTCCACCACAAGATGGATAAATTCGTAGATCGCCAACTCCCCTTCCTCCAGCAATTCGTCAGTGCCGCTGCCAGTTTCCCCCAAAGGTGCCACTGACGCACCACCTAAGGAATTCCCTGCCGCCGCCCCACCATTGGCGTTTGCCGACGTAGAAGAGATGCTTTTGTTTTTAATGCCAACAATAAAGAAGATGGAGGCATAGCGACGATAGATAAGTTTATAATGCAGATGCTCAACAAAACTACAATCCGATTCTCGTCGTTGTAGACATTTTCGAACAACTTCGCCCTCAAGAGCGGTACGCTCAGCAATCGACATAAAGGACGAGTACTGCGCCAGACGTGTCTGGCCCTGTTTGTTTACCACAAGAAAAAACTCTATCCCCATCCTGCTGATATAATATATATATACTATATATCAATGCGTGGGTGGGATTGCACTAATATGACTAGCTGGTACAGCTGCATAGTAAATAAAAATAAAAATACAAATAGAAATGGTAGGCACGTGTAGATGCGGAAGTGGCAACCAATAATAATAATAACAATAATAATAATAATAATAACAATAATAACAATAATAATAATAACAATAATAACAATAACAATAATAACAATAATAGTAATGGCAATAATAATCCCCTCCAGCTTTCCTCAAGAAAACACCAAACTCTTATCGCTTCTTTTGATTTTACCCCTCTCCTTCTGGTGGCAGTGGAAAAGACAAGGAAAAAAAACAACAACAACAAAAACAACAACATCCGCATAAAAATAAACATAATAAAAATAATCAACAAAACTTTTTCTTTTTTTTTTTCTTTTTTCTATTCTTTCCTTCCTTCATTGCCTTCCTTTTAATTCATCTGCTCTTGTCGTCTTCTTGCGGCCCTTCCGTAAGGCGTCGACATGGAAAGAAAACCCAACCCGCATTCACCCATGAAGCATGCACGGTGGAGCGCCACAGGATGCACCCCCATTGGTATCTGTGAGCAAAAACACACACACACGCACATACATAAAGGGAGGGAAACAGAGAGAGGGAGAAGAAAAAAGAAAAAAAAAAAAAAACTGTAAAAAAGCGCGGCAAATAAACAAACAAAAATCGACAAAAATATAACATCGAAAAAGAAGGGGAGAAAAAAAAAAAAAAAAAGACAGACTGACAGCAGATGACACAAAATATCAAGCCATAGGGAGGGGAGAAGAAAGAGAAACAGAGACAGATACATAAAGACGGAGACACGGTAAAAACATTTATGCAAAATCAAAAAAATAAAAAAATAATAAAAATAAATCGTGAACACCTCCCCCCCTCTTCCTGCAGTCAGACATTTGCCGCAACAACAGCAACAGTAGGAAGGAGGTAAATGTCAACGGTGTCAACATGAGGACAAAATCAAAGGGAACAGATACGCCGAGCCTTTGAAGAAAACACCACCACCACCAACATAAAAATTTCTATTTTCTTCAAAGTCTCTCTCTGCCCGCAAGGCAGCCTTCTCCCCACTGCATGTCATTCCTTTGCCACATGCAACCCCCTCACATCAATTCATATCGCCATTACAAAAATAACAATGCCATCCAAAAGAAAAAGAAAACCATTCCACACATACATACATACATACATATGCAAAGAAAAAACACAGAGAGCACCAAAACTCAGCAGTGTTCCTTCTCTGTGCACCTCCCCCTTTTGCCCCACACCTCAACACACTACATCCCCTCCCACTGTCTCACATGATTCCCTCGTCCGCATCAATTCGCCCCATGCTCGCTTAAAACTGGCAAAGCGCGTGGCACACACACAAAAAAAAAAAAAGAAAGAAAAAAAAAGGACACGCCACCCAGAGGCCCAGCAATTAAATAAAGGGACCAAATTAATTATTGGCAATACTCTCTCTGGGCTTAAATGCTGGTCCACATAAAGAGTGGCAATGAAATCCTTAGGGCCACATGTATACAAATATCTACTCACATGATGGCGGCATGTATACATGAATAATACATATATATATATATATATATATATATATTTATTATGTGGAGGGAAAAAAAAAAGGAAAAAAGAGAACTAAAACACGTGTCAACAGCAAAAAATATTCAAGACAATGCGCGGAAAAACAAAATAATAAAAAAGAAGAGGACGCATTCCTCCGGCGCATCACGACAGCAACAGCAGTGGATGCGTCTCGCAGCACACACACACACACACACACACACACACACACACACACACAAATACATACAGACAGACCGGAATTCCCCTCTTTTGTTGTTGCGGTTTATTTAATTGATTTCTCTACGCTCGATTCCCCTGCAACCAACGCACCGCCACGGCAACCACAACTTACATCCCGCCTGGAGACAGAAACAATATGAACATGAAAATAAATTATTTCCTTTTTTTTTTTTTTTTTACAAAAAAAGAAGAAAAACAAATAAACCCTCAAAAAAAAAAAGGGAAAGATGCACCCAAACAACATTGACAACACCTCCCCAGTGATAAAGTAAGCCGGTGACAACGCTCATTGCGACATGTTCATTTCATTTCATTTTCATCTCATTCCTCGAAAAGCTCTTCAAAAAAACAAAAAATAAAAATAATAAATAATAAAATAAGAAGCAAACAAACAAACATTACCACCATTCGCGTTGAGCAAAAAAATCACAACCAAAATACATCCACAGAAAAAAGGAAAAAATATATATATTTAAACAACATGCAGATTGCACAGGGAGACACACAAACATGTTAGGAGGCAGCAGCTGGTGCTGTCAACGCCTGAGTTTTCCCTCATTTTTTTTTTTTTTGGTTTTTCTTTTCGTTTTTTCCCCTCGGCTCCGTCCCCTCAAACCGTCTCACTCGTGGCTGCACCTCCACCACCCCGAGTTCAATCGGCGGCAATGACATCCAACTGATTTAAATACGGACGAGCGGATTGCTGCAAGAACGCATTCTTCCCTGTGCATTGCCCCATTCCCAGCGACACAGACCCGCCCAACACACATGTAAAAAAAAAAAAAAAAAAAAAGCCAACACAAAAAAGCCACACTCTTCAAACAGACCACCAAAAAAAAAAGAAAAATAATAATAATAATATATTGTTGGAAGCAGAAGACAAAAGACAGAAAAAAAGAGAAACAGAGAGGAATAGAAAAAAAAAAAAAAAAGCCACCACATCCGTATCCCCATTTAACATTTAATGCTGTCGGCATCCGTTCCATTCATTCAGCGATCATGCCCACATGATCCTATGTGTGCCGCAAAAAAAAAGGAAAAAAAAAAGAAAAAAACTACGTGGAGGCAACAACAAACAAGCAGGAATATGGAAATAAGGGCAGCCAGCCAAAACTATATATATATATATATAGGCATCATACATACAGATATATATATATATAGATAGATAGATAGATACAAAGATAAAGTTATATCAATGGCCTCCCAACATCCACAAACGTACAACGCAAAAAAAAAAAAAAGGTTAACGGGAAGAGTGCGATAGTATGAAATAGGGGAAAAAGTTTAAAGACCGCTTGTATACAGTCATTCCCTACACTCATACCATCTATTATTATCCCTCTCTCTCTTTTTCTTTTTCTTTTTCACATTCCCCGCTCAAAGAAGAGAATTTACCCCTCCCTGCTGTCGCAAACAACACGGCAAGGCAGCCCGCAAACGTCGCGTACAAAAAAAAAAAAAAAAAAAGGGAACAACAAAAGGCAGAAGGAACATACGACGCAAAAGGGAGAAGAAACAAGTGAAATACATGAAGAGAAAAACAAAGAGAGAGGGAGAGAGAGGGAGAGAGAGGGAGAGAGAGAGAAAGGAGAGGGGGCCGGCAGTATGAGGCGCAAATGACATGCACATCTAAGGGGAAAACGCAGTGCAAACGGGATGCTCCCTGAAAAGCAACTAAAAAGTAGACCCCCCGCCACTCCCCGCCAAACGAAAATAACAAAACAACAACAACAAAAGAACAGACAAAAGGGAGAAGAAGAAAAAAAAAAAAAAAAAAATCGACTGCCGTCTTTATTTTCGTCAACGCAAATTACACTTCAAAACGACTTCCCCCCATTTGAAGTTCAGTTTCTCGCTTCCCGTGCATACAAACGTGTGCTGCGCCCCTCTCCGTGATGTAAAAAAGTAAATAAAATAAAAAAAACAAAGGCAGATATACATAGATGTATGTACATCTCATACATGTGTATATAAACGTATATATATATATATATACACACATATATATACATGTATACACACACATAGTGAGTGAGTGAAAGAGAAAGAGACATGTACAAAAATTTTATTCCGTTTTCTTTTGTTGTTTTCCCTCTCCTTTTACTCCCTCTATACGCCCTCTTGTTATTGTTGCTGCTTTTTGGGTTCCAAATGGACAAATAAAGTTCTCTTTAAGAAAAAAAAAAAAAAAAAAGACAGAAAAACAAAAGAACAAATAAATAAAACACGGTCGTATGCTTTTCATCTTCACTGTCAACAAATTCTTTTGTTGCAATGCCCTTCACTCTCTGTCCCCTTCTCTTTTAACGTTTTACCTGCTCTTTCTGTGTGGTTACTGTCATGTCATTTGTAATTATTTTTTATTTGTATATGTATATATATATTGTTTGCTTGTGTGTGTGTGCCTCCCTCCTACTTGTGTTCATTTCATTTTATTTTGTTGTTGTTGTTGGGGGGAAAAGGGAGAAGGGCGGATTAACTAGTTTCCCTCGGGCTTTCCTTGGCTATTGTGCCGCTCTTTTTCCTTCCCACTTGTTATTCACGCACCTCCTCCCCCTCCTTGCAACTCACCTCGTCATTCTCGGCTACGGATTCTCTCTCCATCATTACACCCACGCCCGCGCCAGCTGCGCTCTCCATTGCTCGCATTTCGTCGTTTAATAGCATCATCGTCCCCTTCACCACCTCCTCCTGATACACTTGCACCGCCTTTAGCACAACGTCCCTCTTTAGGTTTGTCAGCATCTCAAGAAACTCCATGTATCCACACAGCTCATTATCTTTTGTAGCAAGGCTATACGCATCATCCACTCCCTCAAGAATGAACGGCTCACAGAAGAGCACGTTGTCGGGCTGAAAGCTTACATCCGGTCCGCGGTCATCAAAAAGAATAACACGATCAAGCGGACGTCCTAGCATGGAAAGATCCTTCATGTACATTCCATCCCCGCACGCTGTGCAGTGTTGACGGTAAAAGCGGTGAGCGACTCGCTTTGGTTCTAAACGGTCAAAGATGGGACGCGCGTATTCTTCCGTACCACTAGTGAAAAAAACCAGCTCAAACTTATCCAGACAGAATTGAACAAATTCCAACGCGTATGGTCGAATGCAAACATAATGCCGATCACGACTATGTGGACGCATTCGTTCTCGTGGTGGCGGACTGACCACATGAATGCCACTATCAGAGTCTAAATACTGTGAAGACGAAGCAGAAAGCGAATTAGGGGTGCTGTCTTCGCCGCAATTCTTCCTCTCGATACCAGATTCTTTCTCTTCAAAAGACGATCCAACCTCAACCTCAAGGTGCAGTGGATTGTTCTCCGAATCCCACCATGATGGAGGCCGCGGAAACGTATACACCAGCGTGTTATCAAGGTCTACACAACAAGTTATACGACCAGCATAACACTCAGGCTGAGGAGAAAGAAGATACTTTGTACCAATCTCATCAAGATACATATTCGTCTCATGCTCTAGTCTTTGCGATTCTTTTGATGACTGCTTTTGTGCCGGGCGGGCTACAACCACCCCATCCGAAGAGTGTGTCGTACCCAACTGAGCAGACGATAAAGAATTATAATACAAACCCTCGGAACTATCTCCTTCACTGTGTCTTTGTTCATGGTGTTGTGGTTTTTGGCGTTCCTGTTTCCAACATGCCGTTTCTTTAGTAGCTTTCCCTTCTTCTTCTTCACAGTTGTCGGTTGTCTGTAGTACACTGATATCTTCCAGAGGAGTTGTGGGTATTGCCGTTATCGCAGCTGCTTCAATCAGTGAAGTACTTGCTTCACCAAAATCAAAAAATATATTATTATTATTGTTATTATTATTATTATTATTATATTGATCCCTGCGGGCAACGCTGTATCGCCATGGGGTCGTTGTGTTTGTCACTCCCGCCGCTTTAGGATAAAACGGAGGCGAAAAAGATTTTTCGCCTGGTTCATAAGGAGACTGTTGATGACATTGCAACTCGATCGTCAGAAAACTTTCATCCTTCGGTAGAAACGCATGTGCCTCTTGTTTCGGTTGCTGTTGTATTCGCTGAGGAGTAGCACTAGGAGCCAAGGCTGCAACTGTGACATTGCCGCTTTCTTCCCAAAGGCCACAGGGTTCAGCACAGGCTTCTTGACAGTTCCCACTATTGGAGTTGCTACTATCGCCAGGCCATCTGTCATTGTAAAGAACACGGGCCCATTGTTTCCCGGAGGGACTATGCACTGACAATGACTGAAGTGATCGTCGCAAAAAACTTTCCCCACTTCTCATCACATCAATTGAACAAATTGGACTACTGCCGGAGCCAGAAACACCCGACCGATGTAATGTCATCGCATTCCTTTCCTTCGGAGTATCATGAGAACACTCACCCACTACTGTTGACGGCAAGTCAGTGCTCGTAGCTTCTGAGTGCTTCGAGTGAAGACTATCAGCAACCACGCCGGAATCCGTCAATGTCGCTTCAGTTCGGCTATGGTGCATGAAAGTCATGGGCATCATTTGCTCTCGGTAGTGTTGTTGTTGTTGTTGCTGATGATGATGATGCTGACGCCGTTGGTGATGGCGGTGGTGGTGGTGGTGCGGAAAATGCTGACGAAAAAAGGAGCTGTAACTATCAACCCTCCCTTGCAGTGGCATCGTTGGCGTGGAATAGAGCGTTTCTTGGGTGTATTCATTAACATCCGCTGCGCCTAGCTGCGACGGTGGTGAGGATAGGGACGCGTGGCCCTGACGATAGTGGGAGTAAAGAGCACGCCCACCACTGCGTCCGCTTCCACCCCCCGCCCCGCCGCGACAACTGTTTTCAGGGGAGACGCCTCTACTGCGGCGCATTAACTCTTCCAACTACTCCCTCCCTGTGCACTCCGCCTCCTCAACTCCCTCTCGAACTCCGTTCCGGTTATTTTTTAATCCTTTAACTTTAAACTCCCACCCAACTCCCTTCGTAACTCCACACACACACACACACACACACACACACACAAACACACAACACACACACACACACAACACACACACACACACAACAACAAAAAAAAAACTTCATTCACAATAAAATAAATAAATAAACAACAAAAGAAGTGAAGCGCAATACAAATTAAATAACTAAAAACAACAAAACAACCGCAGCAGACGCATTCCATATGTATATACATATATACCAGAGACAAAATACGGCCGGACCCCCGTGTACACACAAATTCCTGCCCTTGTTAATGACAACATCGCAAGGTCCTCCTCTCTTTCCCCCTCTCTCTCTTTCTCTCTATCTTTTTTTTTCTTCTTCTTTTCCATCGGCTAGCCAGCATTCGAACTATTTTTCTTTCTTTACCCTCTTTTCCCTTCCTTCCATGCCTCCTCGCGCTGAATTCTTTTCGTGTTCTATTCCCATTTTAACCAACGTGGGAATTGTGAGGGAGTGAAAGTAATGTTGTTAAGAGAAAAAAATAAAAAAATAAAAGTGGCAATTATGCACAAGAAAAAAAGGAAAAAGAAAAGCAAAGTGATGTCAACGGCAGTGTTTACTCGTATGGCTTTTACACATGCGCATAAATTCATGTACACGCATGTGTTCTGTTGCTCACCACATGGGGCACCTCGATACTTCCATTTGGACACTCTCCACCGTTCCAACTAAGAGTGATGCGACACCGTCATCATTCTCAGGCAAAAAATCTCCGGCGTGTGCGATTTGTGAAAATTATTTTGTTCGCGTCGCTTATACTTTTTATTTTGTTGTCGTGGCCCAATGGTAACCACGCCAGACGGTCTCGTACGTGGTAAAGAAGACGCTTCCCCCGATAGAAATCCAAATCACACGTGGGACGGCTCCACGAAAAAATCGTTGTGCCCCTCCCCACTTGTCTGTTGCCCGCGGCATCTCACACAACAAGTCGTGAAACGCTGCACAAACCGCCGCAGTCCCACGGGGTGTTGTACGCTTTGCAGCCCCCACCTGTCCCAGCATGATGCGTGTCTTCAGCACATCCAATGGTGTTGTGAGAAACGCCGCTGTGCCACCACTCAATGCCCCACACAGCGGCAAATACTTTGGTCTCTCCTCTGTATGAAAGCATGCTTTAAGTCCCTCGTAGCAACACATTTGGACAATAGAAAACGGCCATTCACGCAGTAACATGATAGGCATTCCCGTAAAAAGCAACGGGAGACCGAGCCAACGTATTTTTCTCGGCGCCATCACTGGGGCGGCATCCGGTGGAATATTGTGCGTGATGTGCGAGAGTGCCCGGTAAATGTCGTGGTGGTGTCCCGCCTGGAGCTGTTGCTTGACCATTTCCGTGGGCACACGTGTGAGGCACGCCAAAGTTTCACCCGCCATTGCAGCCACAGCCTGCGATTTCAATCGACGCACTGTAGTCAAGTTGTTCTCCCCGCCATCATCCAAAAGCCCCCGCTTTGTGAGGTCGTAGCCGACAAAAAAGGCAGCACCGCCGGGGACAGACCCGATGGCGACAGCGCTGAGGCCCTTGTATACCCCGCGGAATCCACCCGCCTGATAAAACCCACTCCTCGACTGTAGGCGGGTTTTGATAGTGTCGATCGGGTACAGAGTGAGATCCACCACGAGACCGGCGACTCCCCCCGCCACCAATGAGTCCATCGAAATGAACTTGCGGTGGGCGGCCCAGTGGGAATGGGAGCCGCAGCGTACCACTAACCGCGTGGTGTCCCTTTTTCGGTTTCTTCACGCGTACAAAACAACAAAAAAAAAAAAAAAAGAAGATAAAAATAAGCGACGATGGAGGTGGCAATGACACATACAAGGCTAAGGAGTTCGACTCGAACGGTACACACAAAGTACAGCGGCAAAGAAAAAAAAGAAAATAAATAAATCAGGTTGCATGCAATCAGACAAAGGACGATGGCAGTGGAAGCATAATTCACCACCTACACAACCGGGGAATAATAACAATAAGAAGAAAAAGAAAACAGACGGAAGAGAAAACGGAAAAAGTAAATAAACACAAAAAATGCGTACACTATATACAACTGGGAAAGAAAAAAAAAAAAAAGGAAAAACAAAGACAACATCAACAACTACTACCACAAAAAAGACAGAGACCAGTGCAGTTTGTTTTTTTTTTTCTTTTTAACGTAATCTCCAACTTCAAATAAAAATAATAATAATAAAGCAATGAAAAGTAACAACACCACCAACAACATCATCATTCAAGTAAAAAACAACACAATAAAACAACACCACACATAAAAACACTTCTAAAGTAAACCGTTTATACACCTATTTTGTTAGCATCTCTATGGCTTTTGCATCCACCCCCTCTCCCCTCTACCAAAAAAAAAAAAAAAAAAAAAAAAAAAGCCTTCTCAGTAAGCTACGAAAAGGTATTTGATGGATCAGGAGGGATGCAAACCATATTGCAAGTGACACCACAGTTGTTGTTGTTTTCTTTCTTTTTAGAGTATAAGTACAAACTTTAAAAGGATTTGAAAAAAAAAAAAAAAAAAAAGAAAGAAAAGAAAAGAAAAGAGAAGAAAACGACTCTCATTGTCATGTTACATAGAAATTCTCCTAAATGTTGACATGCATGTATATAGATGATAAAGCAATAAAATAAATCAGCACATTTCCAAAGTAGACGTAAAAGCTTGCCACATATTTTCATTTCACATTTGTCCCCCTCTTCTTCATTTGTATTTAAACTCATTGAAATGACGGTACACAAATACAAATTCCCATTGGTCTCAAAAACATACTTCTTTTTCTTCCTTGCTTATCTAATTTCATTCTTTCCTCCTCCTCCTCCTCCTCCTCCTTTTCTTTTTTTTTCTATTTTGTATATATTTTTTTGGCTTCTCCTTTTTTCTTCCTTTCACCCTTCCCTTTGACGAATGTTTCACACCTGGAGAGAAGGCATTTTAATACTTATTAGATTCATATTACACGTTGGTACATGAATAAAGTTGTGACACTCGCTATTCACTTCTACACGATGCGTACACCTCCGGCAGGGAGGAAATGGAAATGGAAAGGAAAGAAAAAAAAAAACGGGATTTTCTTCTTTCCTCGTGCAGTTTCCGCCGCACCCCCCTACTCACGATTATACCAAAATAAATAAATAAAAGAAATGTTTGCTTTCATCTCATTGCCATTTTGGCTCTAGGAATAGCTTCCACTCCGATTCCGAAAAGAAAAGTTACATGTGTGTAAGACAAACCCCCAAAGAAACCAGCAACGCAACCAAAGCAAAAGAAAATAACAACAGCAACAACAATAATAAAAAAACAAAAAAAAGAAGAAGCGACTAGGCCTACCTAGGAGAAAAAGACTGGCTACTGAGTGCTTGCGCACCACGAGAAACGCAACGACTTGTACTACTCCCTGCCCAAGCCCATTGACTTTCAATTGGGCTGCTCACACTGCTCGGTGCCAGTTCGTTCATCTTGGCAGCAAGCTGAGCCCTAATGTCTTCACTAAACGCCACCACGTAACTTGGTCGACGTTCAATATATTTGCAATGTACGTCTTCCGGGTCAACACTAAGCTCAATATTCACACGGCGATCTGAACCTCCAGTTGGAACGGAAAGCGACATATGTAGGCGACCTCCTGCATCACGAATGCTATCTGGAAATCGGGATAGAGTTGAGCTAGATGGCACACCACCCTGAGCTTCTGCTGAGACATCATCACTGCTGTGGTTCATAGAAGCCCCAGCGAAAACAGATATTGAGCCAGTCATCATAAGAAGAGTCGGAAGGTGCTGAGAGGCTGTCAGCGATGCCGTTGACGCGGTTTGCGAACGACGTGATGGTGAAACTCCACGAGATGGAAAGGATGAGTTGGACATCAAAGACATACTCTGATTATAAACCGCAGGTCCATGACGGGCATTGCGATTAGCAGGGCTCCTTCCAGCAGAAATGGCGGAATGACTAATGTTGTTATTGAGGTTACCAGGGCTGCAATGACGAGAATGTCCCTCATGAGCGTGCACAGTTGCAGCAACACCAGGGGGTGAGCTGCTTCTAAATGCAAAATTAGAGCTAGGAGATCGGTTAAAGAAGTGTTCATGAGAGTAAGCAAACGCGTCATCCACATCGGCATCCACCTCCACCGTTTCCTCATCCACCGGGACAAAGTCAAGGCTGCCATCAGCATTAATACGAAGGTACTGTGCTGCTGAAGGAAGCATCATGGATGTACTGTAAGATGGTAGGACAAAACGCCCTTCCGACGCCCCTAATGGAATTGAGTAATTAAATTGATCATTCTGCGCGGCATCTACTGTGACAGTAGGACTTACGGAAACCCAGCCACCACCACGGGAGCTCACCGCTGGACTGTGACATTGGCTGCCTGATATCGCTCCCTGTGATTCCAAATGACGTTGTTCTATTGGATTTTGTTGTGGTGATATTTCCTCGCTTCTAGAACGAATATCCGTCTGCAATGACAGATAATGTTGCTGCGATTGCGATTGTTGCTGCTGCTGCTGCTGATGCATTTGAGAGGAAAACAAGATAGAGGGCAGACCCGTACCAATTTTCAACATCCACGCGCTGCACATATCAACTGAAATATAAGCTGCCACTTCCTCGAGCTCATACTGACAGAAGAACTCTTCCTCGGCCGGACGTGTTACCAATGGCCAAGTAGGACTGTTAGCACCGCCAGGAAAAGGAACGGAAAAAGAGTTGTGCGCCGGGCTCAAACGAGCACCCTTTATCCACGGGTGATCCAATAAATCCGCTGCATCGGGTCTCTGTTTCACATCTCTGATAAAGCACTGTTCCATAAAGTCCTTAAATTCAAGACTGAATTCCTGAACATCGTCCTGTGGAAGATTTGTGAGTGGCGTTTCACTTGTAGTGGTGATATAAAACATAAGTGGGAGGTTGTCACGAACTTTCGCATGGTGCCACGGCAACAGACCGGTCCCTAATTCAAAAAGCGAGCATGCCATAGACCAAATGTCTGACTTAGGATCAAATTCGCCCTTAATAAATTCAGGGGACATGTACAGAGGAGTCCCAATGACGCAGTTTGTAGATTTGCTCAGCTCATTCACACGTTTACTACAACCAAAATCACACAACTTCACAACACCACGGTCGCTTACAAGAATATTCGCCGGTTTAATATCTCGATGTGAAATGCCCTCCTTGTGGATAAATGCAATGGCTTCTAGAAGATGACGGGCAAATTTGCGGAGAATAGGCTCTCTTAGTGGCCCGTATTTTTCAAGGAGAGCCAGCGTCGAGCCGCCGGTAAGCAACTCCATGACAATGCGGCATACCTTCTGTGACGCACTATGTTCAAAAAGTTGATATGACACAATATTGGGATGTCGAAGAGATTTAAGTAAGCCAAATTCTTTACCAATCGCATTTAATGCGGCTTGATCATTAATCTCCGCAATATTTATCTCCTTGATAGCCACAAGCCTTCCACTCACGCAATCCATGCCAGCATACACCTTGGCAAATCCTCCTACCCCAATCAGTGGTCCCTTACGCATATCCATCGGGTGGTCAGCATTACCGCTGATAACTGGCTTTCCAACAAGGCTCAAATAAGAACAAAATGAAGGTAACAGCATTGCTAACTCCTTCCTTGCAGGTGAAATATTCCCTATAACTCCTTTACCAAGCTGCCACGCCGCACCACCAACCGCATGGAACGCCGTCATTGTAGGAGTTGATGTTCCCCACAGCATAGATTGACGCCCACTTCGATGACCCCCGATGATTGGACTAGTTGACACAGAGGAAGGTGACAAGTGGCCAGCATAAAAGAGTGTACTTGTGCTGCGGCCAGCATAACCTTCTCCACCGGGCCCAACATTATGATTCTGCGACACACCAAAAGAGACAGAACGGCGGTGATTTTCAAGTCCTATCGGTGCTGCTCCAGGGGTTATGCTTGACGACAATGATCCCCCAGGGCCTGGAACAACATGTTTCCCAGCAAACAACGCTTGGTTAGCATAGTGGAACGATGATCGCGACGCTGCAGCCGCCCGCCATGGATTAAAGAGACAGAATGATCGGCTCCACTCAGGGACGCTACCAATGAGGCTGACGACTGTGCTGGCATTACTCATACTGCGTCTTTTGCCTGTCGAGTACTGTTTATTCGAGTACACGGAACGGTAGCTTCCATTATGTTTGAATGCACCAGTTCGCCCGTATCTTTGCTGCGTCGCACTGCTGGGGGAACTACAGCTTGTGTTAGATCCAGTCTCCCAGGGGCGGTTTTGATAGCGACCTGTCCGACGAAAGCCCGGTGGCCCCGCGGTAGAGGTGCTACTGTTTAGCGTATCCGCGTCGCCGTCATTGTCACATAAATTACTCACTAATGTCGAGGGAAGACGCCTGTTCGCCAGTGTATCCAAATACTCCCCACTATCCTCGTCACTCATGTCTCAGAAGATTAAAAGTAGTGTCCTTCTTTGTTGTTGTTGTTTTAGTGGCTGGTTTATTCCCCTTTCAACCCTCAATCGCACCAGATGTCTTCCTTCTTGGAAAAATTGGGAGGAGGCGCACTCTTCGACCGCGTCCCTTCTTCACACCCTATAATATATAATATATGCACGTCCAGCGCGGCGACCTTCCTCGCCTCTTCTAATACCCCCTCCTCCTCCTCCTCCCTAAATTGACCCCCGCCTTCAAATAGAGGCTTTTTTTCCCGTCTTATTTCGTATGATTCCCGCTGCGTGTGTTTTGTGTGTGTGTGTGTGTCAGTTTTCCCAACGAAAGAGAAATAACACGGACAAAGGGGTGGCAAATAATAATAATAAAACAGATGGCTGGCAAAAAAAGAAGTGCAACAGAAGGGAAAAAGTAAAAAAATCACAAAAAAAAAACATTGGCAAATATATAGATATATATATATATGCACACATGCAAGGACAGCTTGGGTAAGGAAAAAAAAAAAAAAAGCGGAATAGAATGCACAAAGTAAAAGAATTAAAAAAGAGAAGAAAAAAAGAAAAGAAACCCATCCAGCAAGATGCACAGGTGTAATCACTCCCTCCTCCTCCTCCCTTGCTACTTTTCCCCCTGTCCCAACTGTCGTATCGTCTCTTCTACATTTTATTCACAAGCTAAGTTTACTCTCCCTTCTTTTTTGTCTTTGCTTTTGTTTTTGTTTTTTATTCCAGTTGCGGTTCCTTCCTGCGTGGTTCTCTCCAATCGTTGGACGAGCAACAGAGCCATGCACATGCGTATATGCTATGTGTATGTCAACACACACATGGCGTATAGCTCGGCGAATAAGCTTTTGTCACTTTCTCTTTCCATTAGCCCTCCTTTTTTTTTTTTGCTTTGTGTGTGTTTGTGCGTCGCTTTAGCAAGAAAGCACAGCAGTGTGCATTACCCCCCATCCACCCTCACATTCCCTGGCACGTCTCACGAGCGGGAGAAAAAAGGGGGATAAAAGAAAAGGGTCACGCATACGCATACTCATGCCTACACATGAATAGCGGTCATGGTGCAGCTACAAGTCAGAGACGGTGTCAGGGCGGAGAAAAGGGAACTGAGCATAAAGTGGATCCAATTCTTCCTCCGTCAGGGGGCGAGAGAGTCCACAAAGCCGCAACAATTCCGCCTCGGAGGAGGCGCCAAGCGCCAAGGATGCAAGAAAAGCACAAGTCAACTGCCGCAGCGGTTCAACAATAAGAAAATCACTTAGCATTGCAAGTTCCGTTATCAGATTCAACGATTCAGGTGCGTTATTTACGATGACACTGTAGTAAGCTGTCCTGGCATCCCCGACCGATTTTCTACCCTTTGTTTTGCCCTCTTTCCCATCATTCATTTGTTGCGAAATGGCATGACTGGTCGTGTCGTCCATGCAGTCTTTTAGCAAAAAGTTCATTTCCCACGGCTGAAGAAGTTCCTCAATTGGTGCACGGAGAGGCTTCGAGATTGTTGTAGGCACACGCGTAGTAATCAGCTCCAAGTACAGAAAAAGTGCCTTGCATCCCTTGTATGTTGCTTGTGGAAGAACTACAGGGGGCAAATGACCCACAGCGTCTTTTCCGGTTCGATCTGCCTTATTCTCCGCGATACCGTCGATCGCATCGCGGTCTATAGCACCCATGTGAAGATCGTACGCATCCAACATGGTGTCCAACAAGCGGCAATTCCGCGCGCCGCGCAGATGCAGCGCAAAATCGTGTCGCACAGGTTCGTTTCCCTCCGATTCCGCTAAGTTTTGTATGCAGCTGCCATTCTTCCAATTGCCATCCGTGCGAGCATTCATCTGCACGCACGGAGCATCACTACTGACGTCGCCTGCGCCGCTCAGAGCCACCACGCGCACGTAATCCTCCGAAGGCAGCGGGGCGCTGCGGGAGAGGCTGACGTAAAGCGGCGCAATTTCCCCCTCGAAGTATTCCGTTTCGCTCTTCTTGTCCGTATCAGCAGCACCGGAATTATTCAAAGGCATCGGCACCCACTTCGACCGGCAACCAAACCCACAAAAAAATAAAAAAGAGGAAGTAAACATCAACCACACAGCAGAACTCATCAATAACAAAAAAAAACATCACATGTGGAAGCGGCGCAAAACATCCCTCTCATCATCAGAATATTTTTTCTGCTTCTTTTTGAAGAAGCTTCGTGATATGGGAGCCGCCCAAAGAGTTCTTCCTCGTCGTCAACCCCACCCGCTAAAAAAGAAAAAAGAAATCGCACAAGAGAGTGTGAAAGGGAGAAAAAAAGGGCGATAGAACACGTTCCTGTCCCAATGCACCTGTACACCTCACGCGTAGGGGAAAATTGTTTTGTGCAGGAGGGCGAACCACTACCTTGGGTAGAATAAATGCAGCAGACACACACACACACAGACACGAAGCTTATCCATCGTTTCGTGTTTAAATGAGTACTCCAATTCATTTCCTTCGGTGTGGTGTCACTTTGAATTTTCCCCCCTCTCTTTCTTCTCGTTGTCATTTCCAAAGCTTTGGCCCTCGTCGTCGTCGTGTGGAAAGAAATGTGCCTTTTATTCATGTGTTCCCTCTAGCAGGACGTGCATGGACAAAAAATAAACAAACAACAAACAAAAAACTAAAAAAAAAAAAAAACGTCGCCTCTTCTTCCCCTCCCTCTCCTCTCTCTCCCCGGGCTCGTTACCGCCCACCACCACCACCACCCTCTAATTTCTGTACACAAAACACTTTGACTTGACACATCCTCGTTGGTTCCTTTTGCTACGCTTTTCCCTTTCTTTTGCTGCTGCACATCTCCCCCTTTAATTCTTCTCACAGGAATTCACCTTCCATTTCCCTCCAAGCAAATGGCACAACGTCGCAGGAGGCAGGAAAGAAAACATCCATATGTTATTTGTGTGTGCGTGTGTGGGGGAGCAAAAACAACCACAAAAAAAAGGATTTACAACCAAAACGGCCCCCAAATAAATAAATAAATAAATAAATATATGTACATCCATCCTTGTTTATTCCCACCCCTTCCCATCGGATTCACCAAGAGAGAGCCCGTTATTATCAACAAATCACGGGGAAACAGTAGCAACCACACGTGGCTCTACTTTCCTTAAACAATTCCTACGCATACTTTCCTATTGCATTGTTTTCATCTTTTGCTGTTGTTTTTCATGTGTGTATGTGCATGTGTATGTATTGACTTTTCATTGTTCTTCATCTTCCACTCGTCACCGCACCACCCACTTTTTGTACCCATTTTTTGAAGGTTTCATGTGTTGTACCTCCTATCGCCTTTGAGCTCGCGCCAGAGAGTGCAACGTCATTGTTGCCGCTCGACGTACGGAGTCAGAGGAGCCACGCTCTGCAAGGCCACCAATTAACTCCACTGCATCCTGTTGCAGCAATGACTCCAGAGCCTTGGCGTGACCACAGAGGTTTTTTACGCAGAGCGCCGCCTCCCTTGCGCAGTCCTCAGAGCCATGCTGGATAATGTACAAAAGACATCCCGTAAAAGATGTAGTTGGCAAAGATGTCCCCTCGCCTTCAAGGCTGCAGCGCCACTCCGCAACATACCGAAGATTCTCTTCATTCGAAGAAGTACTGTTTCGAACTGCGAGAAGCGCATTCAAAACCGCATACGTGTTGGACACCGTATTCTCCGTCTTGTTGGTGCCGCTGCTGGGACCAGCTACAGTTCCCGCCGTTTCCGAAACGGTCTTACCGTCAACACCGTTTTTCGGTCGCTGTGAAAAAGCAAGCGGAGTCTTCTCCTCTATCAAACGCAAAAGTGCATCCATCCCGCCAAACTCCCGCAACTTCGTCCGATTTTCCTGGTTGTTCACCGTCAATGAAGAAATTGCCCCTGCAGCCTGCTCTAGAACAGCAGAGGGTTGGTCTGGCTCCCGCAGTAAACGACAAAGGAGCTCAAGACCACCTTCCTCGCGGGGCGCCACTTTGTCGTCACGTGAAAGATACCAGAGTGCAGATGCCACTGTCTCCTTCAGTTGTAATGATGGTAGCTGCTGTTGGGATGCCAATGGGCTAACGCTCGCCTTGGCACTCATGGCGAGACGGCAATCCTCTACAACATGCACTAAAGCTCGCACGACTCCGGCAGAAACCATCACTGGTCGGTTTTCCTGTACAGTAGAACAATTACGCAACAAACCAACTAATTTTTCCTTTACACTCATGGTTAACTGCACCAAAACTTTGGCATTCTTCTTCTTTGCGGCCGTCACTGAAGTCGCTTCAAGTATTTTCGCAAGTAAAGGTATACCCCCACTCAGGCGGACGCTATGTTTTATTTCGGGAGATATTGTTAGGATCCATAATGTGGATGCCATTTTGTCCAATGCCAACATTGGAATCGATCCTGGCTGTTTTAATATACCCAGCTCTAGCTTGCCAAGCAGCAACTCCACACCACCCGCCTCACGGATTGCTGGTTTGTTTTGATCATTAATAGCACAGTTGCGAAGTGTACCCGCCACGTTATCAAGTATTTTATCACTTATAGGAAGGAACGCTGAAGCATTGTTCGCTACCGCGCCATCTCTTTGTTGTGTCGAAGGAACCGGTTTCCGGTTCATGACAGAGAGTAGCACGGGTATAGCTCCAGCCTTACGGATCGCGGGACGTGATTCCACAGCAGCACTACAGTTCCACAGCGTACCAGAAACATTTTCCACCACGCTTAAACTATGACTCTTGGCAATGAGTTGGGCGAGTTCTATGATGCCACCGTAATCAAGGATCTGTGTCTTATTCTCAGGGTCGACACTAAGATTCCAAAGGGCTCCGGCCGCATTTTCTTGTACAAACTCGTATGGCGAACTAAGTAGTTCCAGCAAGGCGGGAATACATCCAATTTGCCGCAGATACGTTCGATTTTCAGCGTTACTGGCGCAATTCCAAACAGCTCCTGCCATTTTGGTTTGAATAGATTCATAGGGATGACGTAACGTCGCAGTGATTTTCTCCAATCCACCCGCCTCACGAATTTCCACCTTGGACGTCTCTTCACGCGTAATGTAACCAATCGCCATGGCAGCATTCTCTAGAATCGGAATAGAATCCGTGTACAGGAGATCAAGCACGGCACGCAACCCGCCAAGACGTTGTACCTCCCCACGCACTTTTTCTTCGTCATCGTTACGGGCAATAAGATTCCATAGGAGAACGAGTGAGCGCTCCAGTACCGCTTCTGAGGTACAGGATGCCACGATACCTACAAGTGGCTGCAGCCCACCCGAGGTAATAAATTCCTTTCGGGCGTCAGGAAACGTCCTCGTCTTCTCAGACGCAGATTCTGCAACATTACATGCGTTATTCGTATTTCCGCAACCACTTATAATAAGAGGTGAAAGACACTCTAATACCTCGCACTTAACGTCATTGTTAACACTGTGAAGTAGGCGCGTGAGAATTGTGACAGCCTGACCCTCGCGTAGCAAAGTATGCAGCATGGATGTCACCACGGATTCTGGCAGAGACGTTGGTTTCCGCAAAGAGGCAAGCGTTGGGTCTGTGGTACTCTGCGTGACGTATGGGGAACGAAAAAAATGACCAAGAATGTGTAGCTCCGCTAATTGAATGGGCGGACGCGGCAACGGGAGGTGCTTCAACAGACCGAGAACTACTGGCAGCAACTCCTCCTGTTTTTTGGTGGACCACACGACCGTTTTCCCAAAATGATACTCATCATAGCTTTCAATCGCGTGCAAAAGCGTCATTTCCTTCACATCTGGCAGACGTAACATTGCAAGGAGTGCACTACCTGTCGGACATGAGCCGCTGCCACCGTGTACACGTGGAATATTCTTCCCCAGAGTGGAAATTTGTTGACTTTTCCCTCCGTCGGCTAAATTATCATAATTCTCACTCTCCTCAATGGATGGCGACTCCTCACGAGCCTCCCCATGCGTGCCGTTTTCATTGAGAACCTTTTGTGGCTGTGATTCAGAGTGCCGTTTCTGCGATGTGGTGTTTCGACGTGGTCGCTTTGGTGACGTGGAGCTCATTGGTGCCACCTCCGGCGCTGCCTCTGTGCACTCCACTGTTGAACCGGCGACATTTCCGTTAGTTGCGTCCGTGTTCTCACGGGGAGCGTCCATACTGCGGTCCGCATCTGGCACGTAAAACTCCGGCACATCTCCTGTTACCAGCAGGTTCATCGCCAATTTGCAAAACGCCTTCTGTTGCGCCGCCTCCTGCGCTCGTCGCTCCAAGCTCATAAGTTGAGCCTCAACACGTGCCATCTCAGCACGCAGTTTGTCATATGCCACCCGCACCACCTCCTTGTCACGCAAAATCGCCTCCTCCTCTCGAAGCAGTGCCAGCGAACGCTCCGCCAGCACGTCGCTCAAATCAACATACCCACCACCACCCACCGGGGCACCATTTAGCGAGTGGTGGTGGTGCTGCTGCTTCCACGCGGTCTCACGCAGGCTACGTGCAAAGACAGAGAGTGCACAGTGTCCAGCATCCTCGCTCTCTGAGAGAACTGACAGAAGCCCCGCAATCCGGCTTTCAGTTGTGCTCATAAATGATGCCAGGTAGCAAAAGCTCTCTCCTTATAGGTAATAATATTAGCAGCAATAATAGACAGTGCTAGTCACAAGCTTATGCTACCGCAAAAAATAAGGGTGCAATGAAGGCTGTCAAAAAGAAAGCGAAAGGATTTCAGTAAGCAATTTGCCATTCTTTAAACCAGATCGCACGCACCGTCAGATATAATAATCATAAATAAATAAAAAAAACAAATGGATACAGCAAAGATGTTGGTTCATTGCATCAACAGTAAAAAAAAAAAAAAAAAAAACAGATTCCTACAGGAGAAACCACCGGATGTTATCCCTCTGCAGAGCCCCCCCCCCCCACCCCCCCTTTTTTTTTGTCTGGGTTTATTTGCGGGTTGGGCGCTACGGGGTGTTGTTCATATTCTTAATCCTTCTTCGCGCTCAAGACCGCTCAATATGGCCTTCTTTTTCCTTTTTTTCCTGAAACGACGGAGGGGCCCCTGACGAGACTGCAGGTACTCGGTATTTTGCTCTTCAGGAACAATTTCATCGTGTGAACCATTCAAATTCGAAGCATCCCAATCCTGCATGATTGCGTGCCCCCCAAAAAACGACGGTAAAAGACCTTTTCTACCCCACTCTTTGCGGAGGCGCAAACTGTGGCACGCCACTCTCCGTTAAGTGCCGCTTCGGATCAACGATTAAGCGGTGCGGTCTTATTATTCCCCCCGTCATCAGCATCACGTCTTTCCCGTTTGCATGTTGTCGTGTACAATTGGCTTTCCGCGGCTATTTGGGTGGAATGGGCACCTGCTCCATTTTTCCCCACCACAATTGCGCGGGAGTCCCTCCACAGACGCCAACTCGATGCATTGCAAGGGAGAGAAAAGAAAAAGAAATCAGAATGGGAAAATATCAGATCCTTCACCGCACGCCAAATGAAATATTTGTGAAAAGAAGAAATAGAACAACAACAACCCCCATTAATTCAAACGGAAATTAAAAAATCAAAAAGGCCAGGCCGCAAATGATGCAGGTGATTACGATTACACGTGTCTTAAAACAGCAAGAAGAAATTTTTGAAAAAACCAAAGCAAAAAGAAAAAGAAAACCCAACAACTCTCTCTCTCTGTATGGCTCCTCCACATTCTCCTCGTTGTCGCTTTAGGCTTATTACTGACGATGAGCTTCGAATTTTCCAGAAGGAGACCACCACACATTCACACCCATAAAGCTACAGTCGGATAGAGAGAAAGAGAGCCTACACAGCTGCCGTGGATAACACTTTGCGCCTCTTGGTTTTTGCTGTCTTCTTTTTACCACGTAGAGTGAGATCAAGTGGAAGCATGGAATGTCCCTGACGTACCTCCAGACGCGGCTGATTGGCTTCCTTAAAGGCAAAAGCGGAGTTCCACTCGGGGCCAAGAGGATGCCGCATGGACCGTGCAAACTCTGTCGGGTTACTGAATGGACGAGGAATCATATGCAGCAACATACGGTCTGGCACCAGTTCCACTCCATCGTGGTTGATAATGACATGATCGAGCTCAGCGTCAGCGCGGCTTTTCATTAGTGTTGTCTTTTCAATTTGTCGCTGCAAATCCATCAATTTTAACTTTTCCTGGTGATGTCTGTTGAGACGTTCATCTTTGCCGCCCCACTCGCCCCAACCGGGAAGCGTTGCATTTTTGTCAACGGGCTTCATGATCGTTTCAACCTGCGCTGTTTTTTCCGCAAGAAATTCCGCGTCAACTTCATCATCGGCAAAGGCACGGGCAATGAGGTACTCCTGATGTTGTTGTAACGTTGTTTCTTCATCGTTCTCCTCTTCGGATTTTTTCTCTCCAAGCCGCTCCCTTTTTTTCCTTTTCCCTTCGGCCTTCCTAAGCACTCCCTCCTCTTCACCCTTATTTGTGCCATTGACGTCACGCGGCCGTTTGGCGTCAGCCGGCAGAATCGTGATACGCGTACTGCTTGCTCGTTTCGGCGTCGCAGAAAAGACGGCCTCGCTTCCAACGTTACTAACAGAAGATATATTGGGCTGACGGCTACCAGCAAACCCTTCACTTTTCTCTTTCCCACTTCCAGCAAGGTCTGCTGTGTGAAATATGGTAGCCTTATCTTTTTCTGTTGCCACCCCATCCGCTACGCCATCATTGTTGCCTTCATCCCTAGTGGAACGCACAGTACTATTCGCATCTTCCTTTGCACTCGTGTTCCTGTGAGTCTCCTCCGCCTCATTACCCCTTTGTGCATCAATACCACGGTGCCGTTTCAGCTGGATACTCTCCACAACTTTTCTGTCCGGTTGTTCCCCATGCCTCTGCAAAAACGCCTTCCGTCCCACATGTGTCTCTACAGTTTTCAAAGATTTAGCTCTCGATTTCAATTTTTTTGGCTTCTCTTCCGTCTCGCTTGCCTCATCCAAATCAGACGGTTCATCATCACTGCCCACGGCCTGGCCACACATGTCGCGACGAATGTCTTCCTGCAAGGTTTCCAACACCTCTGCGTAACGTTTTTCCTCGCGTTCCTTCGCCTGCTGCATAAAATTCATCGCCCGAAGCTCCATACGAGCCTTTTCTGTGGGCGTCATCTGTGACCCCGTCGTCTGGCCATCGTCCTCCCCCTCCTTCTCAACCTCAGTAATGCTTCGCCACAGTACAGATGTCAGCTTCTGACTGCTCTTTTCCGTCTTATTTCCCCCTTCCTGTTGCTGTTTCGTGGCCGCCTCGGCCATAAGGTAGTCCACGACGCGCTCCTCCTCGCTTGATGCTGCCTCACTGTCGGCATGACCATCAACGTGCGCATTCAGGTAAGCGTCTTCGTCTGCGTCCTCTTCCATTTTTTGCATGAGTCGTTGATGCAACAAGTTCTGCTCGTTAATGGCGTCTTTTGTGTTGCCGTCAAAATTAGCAAACCGTTTCGCGTGGCGTACCCATTTACTTGTGTTCTTGTGCTTCTGCGTCACGCGCTCTTCCACTCTTGCCTTCATTAGCTTTTCTGCCAGACGAGCACGCGCCTTTTCGGGATGGAGAATCTCAAACGCCTTTTCCCGACGCTCCTTTTCACGGTCCTTCTCCTTGCGGAGAATACGACGATATGTTTTGCTTTTAATGCGGTTCAAACGGCGGCGGCGAGCATTTTCGTATGAAAGCATCGCCTTTAGCTTTGCCATGTAACTCTTCGTTGGTACGCTCCCCTCCTTTTCGTTTTGAGCTGCTGCTGCCCTGTTTGCACCCCCATTATCATCGTCGTTGTCGACAAGTGGAATAAAAACATCTTCTGCCGATGGTGCAGCAAGCTCGGGCCTCGACAAGCCTGCGCTTGACAAAAGCGCATTGACTTTTCCAGCAAGGCGAAATGCAGAAACACGTGACGCGTTGCCAGTCGTCCCCAATGCATCGCCTGTGGCGTCGGTTGTGGTGGTGGTGGTTGCCAAGGCAGCAGCCGTGCCTGCCGCATTCTCCTGAGTAGCAAAACGCTCCTGTGCAGCAACAGAGATGGCGCCAAGGGTTGTCGGTACCGGATTGCTGTCTGGCATCGGCATAGGGAACTGCAAGTGCTTTGCCTCACGCTGCTCTCGCAAAAAGCTGTCGTATTTGGCAAGTTCGTCCGACACAACCTTTCTTACCTCACGACGCGTCAACTTCGCCTTTGTATGCTCATCAACATCCACGCTGATGAGGTTACGCTTGTTGTCGAGACTTTTTTGCATTCGCGTCTGCGTTGATGACGCCGGAGTTGCCGTCACAAGTTGCCGAATGGCACTGCCATACTTGTCATCCGTGGCGGCCAGGCCATAGAGAGACTCTGCTTCCTCAGTGACAAGCGCACGTCGTCGCTTCTTCGCCACGCCACTTTCGTCCAATTTTTTCTTCGTTTTTTTCTTCTGCTTTTTGTCCCCCGCCTCCCTCTCCTCCCCTTGACCTGCATCAAGCATTTCCACAAGGTCAATGTAGTCATCGTCGTCCCCGGCACCGTCCCGCTCATGAAAATCCAAGTCGTCCCCGTCTTCAATCTCTCCGAGGGCGCGAAGTTGTTGCAATAAAAGAGCGTCATCCGCATCGCCCGTCTCTTCTACATCTGCCGCATGCTTGCCCACCTTTTTTTTCTTCGTGCCATTCTTCTGTTTCGCTCCTGCAGTCAAGCGCGCGGTGTCAGAGGTCGGCTTTTTGCGGAATAAGTGGCCGTACTTCTCCTCATCCTCACTATTGAAGGCGATATCGTCATCGATGTCCTCGTCCAGCTCCGGGGGGATCAAAGGGTTGTTGAGGTTCAGCACACCCTTCTCCTGCACCTCAAGCAAGCCATCATCGTTGCTGTTTCTCTTACCGCGTTGCTGGCGGCGTCCCCGCAGACCACCCGCCGGTTTTTTCCGCGTCGCATCGCCGACAGCCCTATCGCTTCGACGAACCATTTGTGGCTCTCACGTTACTCCGCTAACCTACAACAACCCACGAGAACCAAAAAAAAAAAAAAAAAAAGGGAAAGTCAAAATAATAATAATCCTAATAATAATAACAAAATAGATAAACGCAAGAAAAAAAAGTATTTGCACATTCTCTCACTCCTCTCCTGCAGCATTTATGGTGCCCTTTTCTCTCCTGTTCACATGATTTCCATTCAAAAACATCAACAACAACAAAAACGACGACAAACACCCACCAGTGCCTCGCAAATTCAGACCAAAGTGTTCTCGCCCGAAACAAAGGCCACGATAACCTCTCAACATTTCTTCATAACATCAAAAAAGAGACGTGTATGCTTGTGTGTGCACACACTTAATGATTCCTTCATTTATACATACATAGAAAAAGGAAGTCACTAAGCAATTTAAAAAGCAAAGGAAAAATAGACATAAATGGTTTGCTTAAATGCGGTCAAAAGTTTCCTTTCACGGCAATTAAGTGGTACTCACCAATGGTCATTGAAACACCACTAAAGCGTGCAGAAGTGTTTTTTTTTTTTTTGTACAGTATTTCTTGCACTCTTCTGTTCATCGTGTCTCTCGCTTGAGAACAGAGGCTAATTGGCGTATTTTGTCCAACTCTAACGACGATGGTATTTTCAAGGAGCTGGCGGCATCATGTGCCGCCGAGTCACCGCGCGGGAATTGCTGAGGAAGTCGTGGCAATTTAAGGCCTCGAGGTCTATTTTTCGCTCCAAGTGTTTGCATGGGAGCGGCGGGCTTAACTGCGGAATTTTCAATGCACTCCGTTGTCGCAGCCTCCGTCTGTTGTTTCTTCCCCTCCACCTTTTCAGGATGCTGCGAAGAAGAAACCACAGCTGGAGCTCGTCGCACAGGACGAGAAATAGTTGCCCCTGAATTATCCGCAGGCGGTTTTGCCGTAGGCATTGATTCCTTACCTTCAGTCTTATCACCCCTTTCCTTTCCCCCTTGGCGCTGCCCTCGTCCTTCCTGATGTTGCTGCTTTGTATTTAACGCCTGGGAGGAAGCGGCTTTAGAAAAAGGTACTGGTTTCGACCGCGCTGCCGCCCCCTCCACTGCCACATGAGTTTCCTCTGCCGCCGGGTCAAAACCGGACCAGCGATACTTCCCTTCCGGTACAATCCACTCGCCACCGTCAGCCAACACGACGCCCATATCTCCCATCGTGTTTTGACTCTGTGACGGTTTTATGCCACGTCCACGTGATGCATCTTTTTTTGCGGTGTTCTTCTTCGTCTCCTTCTCCGTCTGTGATTCAGGCCACGATTCCACGACGACGCCAGGCTCAGGAGCAATCTTCAGCGGCTGCCTCTGTTCTGGACTAGAAGCTTTCGTATCATTAGCGTCAGCTCTCACTGTGTCATCCGCATCCTTCTGGGCACAAGGTGGAGGCGCCGTAAAGAACATACCTTCGTATGCAGCTTTTTCAGCCGCCTCCTTCTGACGCCGCCGCCTTTCCTCCAATGCTTTTTGTTGCTTGCGCGAAAGAATCAAATAACGGTTCCCACGGTTTGGAGACTGAGACCCCTTTGTTGGGGATTTTAGCAACAATCCTGCGTCACCGCTCGCCTCAACATCTTCATCAGGGACTTTGTTGGGTACAAAATTCAATGATAGGCAGCCACTCTTCCCGATATTTACGGACAATTTTCCGGTGCCGTCATCGTCCCATATGTCCTCACGCAATGGAGATGAATTGAACTCTTTATTGCGGCTATTTGTCCTCGACAGTCTTGGATCTTTCGTATTATTAGAGGCATTTTTCTGTGGCCTTTTCCTCTTAGTATTTGTAGAGAAGGTCAGAACACGATCACCTTCAATGAATACAAAGGATTCTGGTACGGTGTTTCGCGCATTCGTGCCACCGTTGTTCCCCGCCGTATTAGCGGCAAAATAACCGTTTGGCAATTGTCGCAACGCCTTCGTCAAATCGTCTTCCACCACTTGAGTAGATGCCTTTGTTTTTGTGGAACGGCTGGCCATCATTGTATCTTGGTAGTCACCAGCAGTCCTATTTTTTTGGCGACGTCCTTTTCTCTTGCCTTGTAAATTGTTACGCTCCGCTTCATTGCCATCATCCATAAGAGAGTTGCTACCATGCGCCACAACCTTTGGTTCACCTTCGCCCCCTTCCTTGCGCGTTCGAGGACTTGCTGAGTATACAGAAGTTCTACTCTTGTTACCCGTTCCATACCGTTTTGACTGTCTTCGCGCCAACGTCTCATTTTTTCCTTTTAAATCCTCTTCCTTTCCGTTAGCCCCCGCGCTCTCCTGCTGCTCAATCTCCGCAACCTTTGGAAGGACATACCGGGCGTATTCATCCAAAGGAATGGGTTCAGGCGGGGCACCGGGACCGTCGTCACCCTCATAGATGGCTCCATGTTCTTTTTCAATCACCGATGATGCTTTAACTGGTTTAAACGACCCTTTAACAACTCCACTCGTCACCGGTTTCTTCTCATTTCCTTTCAAATATGCATCGAGAAGGCGTGAAAAGGTCAAACTTTGCTGCTGCTCCATCACCCCATTTGGTTCGGTGACATCATCGCCAGTAAACAACCTTGAAGCCGCCGTTTCCCGGCGGTGAAAAAGAATAATGCTCTCGGCATCAAGAAGCGATGGAGCCAAAGACCACTCTGGAAGCAAACCCAAGTAAAGTAATTCTCCATTTTTTGACTTCGCCATCCCTTTTGTACCTCTCGTGCCTCCGGTATCCACTGACAGAAATTCCACAATAGCCCCGGAAATCATTTTTTTTGTTTTTTGTCGAATGGGAGGGGCGGCGGTGCGCCTGGTCTCGCGCGGAAGAAGTTCATAAGGGTTCTGTGGAATAAAAGAGCGAACAACAGAGTCATGCACCTCGTCCCACACGGAAAAGGCTGTGTAGGCGGTTGCCATAGAATCAAATGTGCGTTTCACGTATATTTCTGCCGCCAAATTCACAATATCTTCACAAATGGACTCGCAAAACATTTCAGTCGCTAAACGCTGCTCTGCCCCCCAAGCAATTACATCTGCCAATGAAAATGCAGGGACAAAACGAGGGGATGGTGTAAGGGCAGGTGTGGTACCATTTCCAGGTGATGGTGTCCGCAACCTGGAAAGCTCCCCAAGTGTTGGTGTTTGCGTTGTGAAATGGCTGATAATACCCATTTGCTTATGTGCATCGGCTATCGCGATCAGAGAATCGCGCGTCTCACTGGACAGATTTTTACTACCCACCTCATCTGCCACTGCAAGTAATGCAGCCGGAAAAGGTTCTGTCATGTACACTGACTGTTCTAGCAAAGAAAAACGTTTTTGATTCGCCTCGCGCCTCTCTGGAGACGCAAAGGCAAACGTAGTGGGCATTGACACACCCGTATCCGGGACCAAAAGCAATGGCTCTACAGACTCCTTGTTGGGGACGCCCCCCTTTTTACTTTGTTTAATTGACGTTGCTCCTTCTATTGACGTCGCTGAAAGGACCTCCACGGTTGTGTTCCTGCCTGTGAAGTGTGGTGACACGACGGATGGCAAAACCCAACACGATGCGGGATCCAATTTCCCAGCATCCCCCTCATCGTCATTGATGGACTTATGAGCACCGCCAGAGTCATGTAATAAAGTGCCGCTCCGATCAAGGCATTTATTTCGCCGTTGTATTTGCCTTTCTTCCGAGTGCACTTGCTTTCCTTGAATCCTGTGAAAGACGGCCCTCACACTTGCCTCGTATTCCTGCCGCAGGAGTTCGTCACGAAATTGTTTCAAGTAGGAATCCTCCGCGTCCAGGACGACAGGGTCGGGAAAAAACGGCGGCATCTCCGGGAAAACCGTCAACTCTTCGCAATAGACTGAACGACTGACGCCCATCACGCTGCCCCCTCGCCCGTAAGCCAGAGAATTCGCACTTTTGCTGCCACGGCCTCTTCGGCTCATCTTTTCTTAAATTTCCCCCCTTTGCTTCGGTGGTTGGTGCTCCCCGCTCCTCTTCCTGTGCACTGCCTGGGGGATGGGGGAAGAAGTGAAAAAAGGAAAAAGACAAAAAAAAACGGCGGTGGTGTGAGAGAAGCAAACGGCAACAGCAAAAAAGTAACCAAGAAAAACAAACCGTAAATACAAATCAACAAGCCAAGCGCGGCGACCAAAGAACAAATAATCGGCTGGGCGAAAAACACACAAATGCACACACCCCGAGACGGAGAATCCCAACACGGCCATCGCTCCAATCACACCATGCAGGTTATGCATGCCACCACCAGCTTCTCATTATCTTCCTCTCCAAAGGCTACTCATGTATTCCCTGCTTAGAATTCTTTCGTACGGGTTTTGGCGTAAACTCCAGCCCGCTGTACCGTGCCGCCCGCTTTGCCCGCTCAATATCATCTTGCTTCACTGCGTATTTATTCTGGAGACTACGATATTGCTGTAGCTTTTCCCGGAGGAGGGCATATTCCTTTCCACTTAACGCACACTCGGGATCGCTCTCCAGCTCCTTCAGCCGCTTGCTGAAAGAAAACTCAGTACCGCCTGTTGCCGATGATGCTGCCGTCGTCTTCGTCGTAACGGCTGCACCGCAAAGCATTCGCCGTGAAATGCACCACATTTGCGTCCGGCCAGTAACACTTCACGAAACGAGGAGTAAAGGGAAAAAAAAATAAAGCCAAAAAAAAAACATCTAAATAAACATGGGCTGCACGCGAGTGAGTAAAAGCGGCAAAAAACATTTGTAAGCAACTCAAATGAAAGAGAATATGTGTACTTATGTGTGTGTGACAGGGAAATAGAGAGAAAGAGACACAGCCGCAAGAAACAAATGAGAAATCTTCACTGCTTCAATGCCAATAAACACCAAAAGCAACGACGCATACGTGTAGTCAACTCCTACTTTCATTGATTCAGTGTTTTTTTTTTGTTGTTGTTTTGTTTTTTTTCCTCGCCGATACCAAAAAGTATTACCATGCAGCTGTGAAGGAGCCATGCCTTTTGCGACTAAATAAATGCAGTCACACCACCGCCCTCCGTGTTGAATTCGTTTCGTCCCGTAAAATAAAGCCGCCGTGCGTCCCCACATAAAACTCACTAACGCCTACACGCACTTTTCATTTTGCGCAAAGTGCATGACGAGGACGACGGACGCGTAGGTGTCAGGAAAACCCCCGGGAAAGGGCCAAAATCAGAAGAAACCAAAAAAAAAAAAAAAGACGTCTATGGAAAAAGGCAAAAAAGATCACAAGTAGAAGGAATGAAACGCCTCACAAGAGTTCAGTCCCAAATAAAATAAATAAAAACTTTTCTTCTGAACGCAAAAATAAGAATTGGTTTATAAACGCAAATCGGTGTCCATCTCCTTTTTTGGTCCCTCACACGTTAGCCTCACCCACCGCCCCTCAATGCACACACACACAAACACACACACATTCCGCTTCGTGGAATTACTGTGTTTTAAAGAAACATCCCTCACTCGCCCTGTTACAGCAGGGGACCACCTATCACAGGTTGCAGAGTCCACCGGCGTCCACAACCCGCCTTTACTCTCCTCTTCCCCCCATTTTTTTTTTTTTTTCCATTTGTTGTTGTTGTTGTTTTTGTCTCTGGTGTGCGTGTTGATCGCCGCCAATCAGGAGGTGCGGGCTCGTTTGGACTTCGCCCCCTGCTGCTGCTGTTGTTGCTTTGCGGCCGCCTCCAATTCCATGATCTCCTGCTGTATTTCCAGAAGCTCTTCTTCTGTCTCCGCAGCCGCCATCTTCGCCTCGAGTGCCTCCAGACGGGCTTGGGTGCTGTCAAACGCCTTGTGTGTAGCGTCCAGTGCAGCCACACCAGTAGTCGTCGTCGTCGTCGTATTCGTAGTGGAAGCTCCACCCGCATTCAAAGCCATTTTATCTAAACCATCGCCACTGTGGATGTAATTTGCTGCTGCCGCCGCCCGAGCCTCTCGACCACGTTTTCTCATCTTTTTGCCGTTCACCACGCAACCCCAATTAATCCCTGTTTTCTCGCCATCATTTCCTCGACCACCACGACTCTTTTCTCCGAGGCGTCGCCACTCCCCCACAAGGCCCTCAAATTCCTCCCGCATCTTCTCCACATTGCGCCTGTCATCCTGCGTGACGCGCTGGTAGTTAACAAGCTTTAGTTTTGGACAAAGAAAAACAACGAACGCCCGCAGCCGTGCCTCACTTTCCCGAAGAGTCACCGGATTATGTTCAATGGAGAGTATCTCCAGCTTTTGCCAGTGCGATAGAAACAACAGATCACGCAGTTCGCTAAATTCGTTGTGATCCGCCAAAAAGGCACGTACATTTGGAAGGACTGCTGCACACGTCGCCTCGCTTACATGTGAAAGACGGTTGCGATGCACAATGAGGGATTTCAAGCGAAGCATCATTTTCTTCGCCGGGTCTACAAAACCGGTTGTCCCCTCCATCGCCGCCGTACCCGCGCTGCCACCACCGCCAATAGGAAAGTATTCTAAGCGTACAAGCGGGTTCTGCGAGAGGTTCAACACGTCAAAGCTATCGTTCAGCATTAGCAACAACTGCTCATCAAGAACAGTTAAACCGAGACCGCGGAGGTCAATCTCGCGCTCCAGCAAAGTGTTGGTAAACTGTGGAGCGCGCCGGATTATGTCCAGTGTGAGTCGCATGAACGCCTGCCTTGTATACTCGTCCCTTATCAAAAAGGATTCACTTTGTGTTTCCGTTTGTGCGTGCGTACATTAAAGTTGGTATTTTATGATGCCCACAGAAACAAATCCCCACACACAAAAAATAAATAAATAAATAAATAATTGAAAGAGATAAAAAACTTCACGCGTTGGTGCATCGCCAAGAGGAGTCACATAAATCTCAAATAAATAAGCCATTCAGAATACCTAACGACACAACCACAATAAAGGAAGCAAAACACTGATTTTCTTCTCACCATTCACCTCCATTCAAACGGACGCTCACGCCAAGAATTAAATAACGCACTCGTTATTAATGCTTCATGTATTCTCTCCTTTTTCACCACGGTGTCGAAGAATGCGACGGTACCCTTTCAGCTTGCCGTGCTCATCATACATCGGTTCCAGTACGTAATTCGTCATGGGTGTCGTGTTGGGCGTAAGACCCTGTGTAAATTTCTCGATGGGCACTAACACTGGGATGTTGTACGCAATTCCGAATGTTATGAGCAAAAGTGGAACTAAAAACACAAACTCGCGGATACCAAGCGGGATGCGCGTATTATAAAAGGCCGCTAAACGAAATAAGTGCGGGTTCTTCTTCGGTGGGGGCACGGCATTGGCAACGCCAGGAGGTTTTGCAGCGGAATTACCCCTGCCACTTCCGCCACCACACATACCGCTACTGCTCGTGCCATCGGCTGTCATTGAAGAATCCTCCCCCTCCTTCTTCGGCCCCTGCTAGTGTGTTTGTCCCAAGCACGCACCAAATGAATAAGAGAAGACAAAAAAAAAAAAAAACAGCAAGGCATGACAGGCCATACTCCACCCCCACCCTGATGCCACTCCGATGAGAAATGGCAAAATTTTTCTCTTACGGAAAAAAGGGCCTTCCTTTCACCTCCTTTTTGTGTTTTTTTTTTTAAATTTTCTCAGTCACTTCCAACCCAGTGAGGTGAATTTTCACCCGTTTAACGCAATTTTATTTCACTGAATTACGTTGCTCGCATTACTGCGTAATTATCATCATTCATTTATTTTTTGTGGGCTGCAAGCCTGCCTCGTTCAAGAATTAGATGGAGACACCACGCCGCCGCTTACACTCCGTCTATCATTCACTGCTCACCAAGATCTAGCGTGACACTTGTCAGCACATCGTCGGGGCCTAACACAGGTGGCTCAAAGGCGTGCGTAGCGACCCGGGCCAGCTGCAAAACTAACTGCAGGGGCACTGTTTTACCCTCACATCCTGATGACTCCGTTTCGCTCTTCTCGCGTTCACGCAGAGTGAATACAATGCAGTTCCTCCACTTTCCCCCCTGTTCCTGTTCCTCCTCCTCTTCAACCGCTGGTAGCGTCACACCCGCATCACTCAATGGGGCAACATGGAAAAGCGCATTTTCTTCATCCGATGCTCCACGTTCCTGTTTCTTCTTCTGCTGCTGCTGCTGCTGTGTAGTGCCTTGAAAGCCCATAAACAGGTAAAGAACAAATGGATCTCGTCTCTCTCCTGTCACTGGTAAAAAAACACGCGCGGGAAGGAGTGTGTGAGCGGCAAACAAGAGAGTTAGGGCCGCTTTAGGCAGTCGAAGAGGAGCATTCTTTTCCTTCTGAAGTGCCACAGCAGAACGCAAGGCGTTAAGATTTGACTCAGTGTAAAGAAAAATCGAATTTTGTAACATCACAACCTCGTTACAACGTTGATTCCCAGCACTATGCTTGCCAGCATCTCCAAAAGTAAGGGCAAGCCACACACGACGCGACCCTTCAGCACGCTCCTGCTTTTTGCGGCCCATAAACATCTTTCTCTTCCCCTTTTTGCGGCTTTTTGTATCATCCCGATATCCGTGCTCCTGTTCTTGAAGGGCTCCAAGTGCAAGGTGGTAGCTGTGCAAACATCCACCCACACATGGAAGCTCTTCCGCCCCAAATATGATTTTGTTTGATACCGACTGCGAGAAACTGGTGCCGCTATCTTTTGAACCATCTACCACAAGGGTTGTAGTTTTCCCAGCCTCCATGATAACAAGATTCCGCGCAAACAAACGACGGCCCTCCCTTGGCATGTTCGCATGCTGCGTAAAAATATTTCGTAGAGACTGAGCAATGCAAGGCATGTTGAGCATACCACCACAGAGTACAACAGCGTCAATGGCACCATCCTCCTTTTGTTCTAAGAGATGAAGATATTCCACAAGAACCCTTTCAAATGACTCAATAAACCCCCATTCCCCTCGCAGCGCGGCATCAACACGAACACGGGAAAACGTCACTGTATCGCGCATGTCAATACCCTCCGCCAGTGCTTCAACCTCTACTGGCACCTGAGCAGCCTTGCTCAGTGCCACCTTTTTTTCCTCTGTAATAAGCAGCAGTCGACGCTGGGCACGGGCGGGAAAATCGCTAAGGGACTGATAACCCAAGACACGACGCTGCTTTTGCGCAAAAGTCGTGGCAAGACTCTCGCGGAGAGCCAAGTTGACAGCGTCGCCACCACCACATGAAGTTGCAGCAAACCCAAACTCTGCTCCTGGAGAATTAACCGCCTTCTGACTGGCGCGGAGAAAAACTGTTCTCGGTTCATCTACGAGGCAACCACCTTCAAGGCAAAGACGAGTAAAGGACACACCCAGTGAACCCCACTTAACGACAAGTACACGTGAATAAGGCCACGATGACGCAACAGCACCATTGATAGCTGCCATTGGTGATGCTGATGCAGAAGAAGGTAAAAGAAAGTAACGGTTTGCCATGGGATGAGACTGATGTGGGCGACACGAGACGGCATCCATCGCCAACAATGCAGCTTCGTCAGAGAAAAGCACCGAAACGTGCATTGCAACAGCACCCAAATGAGAATTCAGAATCGCATTCCTCAACCACTGAATGGCATCGCGCCGCCCTGCATCTTGACTGCCACTAATTTCCTCTTCCTGTTGAGAATTGTTCAACATTACCGCCCCTTGAAACAAGTAGCGGGGCACTACAATCGTGAGGATAATTTCCGGCTGCTTCGCTTGCTGTGGTGTTTCTTCCTGCGAGGAAAAGTTCTCAGCAGTAGCTGTCAATCCACAGGCACCATCCACTGTATGCTTTTTAATGTGGTTAAAGAACCCAACAAGCATATCTTCCGCACTAATAAAGACGTTTTTTTCACCGACTTCATCGCCCCGATTTGGCAAGCAAAACCCCGGCTTTTGCGCCTCATCACCCTCCCCCGTCAAAAGTGGACAAGACCCCTTGAATTGCTTCCCCGCAGCCTCTTCAATTTCACGCTTGAGGGCCAAAGCAGCCTTCTCCGCATCGTCATTATTTCCCTCTTCAGGATCGCCACCCATTTTGCAACGGCGTTGTTGTTCTTGGTGGCGCTCAGCAACAGCAGCAAAGGCAAACAGATACGGTACCACAACCTCCGGTGCCCGTGCGTACAGTGCACGAGCATCTTCGCCAAAAAGAATCTCTTCATTGCCTGCAAATGCAGCCATCACCGGGGTTGAGCGGTGACCAGCGGAGTTGGCGGTTAATTTAATAGGCGCGGATTTCTCCTCTCCAGCAGCCGTAGCAATAGTGGCGGCAGCAACAGCCACCACAGCGCTGCTGGAGCCCAACGATATACTAACGGCATACATCGCACTCTGTTCTTACTGTCTCGAAACCCGACCCCTTTGGTTTCTCTGCAACGGAAACTGAACCTAAACATGTAAACACACATGTGTGGAAAAAATGAATAATAGTATTAAAAGGATTAATAAATTACTCAAAAAAAAAAAAAACGACTCAGTTGATTTCATATATGCATGTGCATCGACGATCGGGAAACGTTGTTGTAAGCAATCAAGCACCCACGTTCACCCTTCAGTCAGAATAAAAAAAGGCGTACGACACAGGCTTGTGGTGCCGGAAAACGGTATGAACTAAGCCACTCTCCACGCTCACAGTGACGATAGAATTCATTTTTATATATTCGTTGAATACTGTGAAGTAAACGTCCCATTCACTTAAGACAAAATAAACAGGACTTTTTCTTCATTAATGTCAATTGCGTACTTCAATCTGAAAATCCAAACGACGCAAAAGATAAAAATAAAATAAAATTACACAGGAAACACACACACAGAGAGAGAGAGAAAAAAAAAAAAAAAGGTAAAACAATTTCTCTACGAGCCATGTCAGACAAACGCCTATATTCCTCCTTCACGCCCATTCTCCATTGCGTCAATGCTCTCTAATTCCTGGGTGATGTTGTCCAAGAACGCAGCAATGTCGTCCACCTCCACAACCCCGTTGACCACACTGGCATCGATCGCATTCGCCACCTTTTCAACATCATATGGGCGTTGCTGTTGTTGCCGTGGTGCTGGCGATGGTTGTTGGTTTATCGCTTGTTGCTGTTGTCGAGGTTGCGTTAGGGGAGAAGAATGTTTCAAAAGTGAAGAGTGTATTGGTGCCTGTGCGACATTGCGTGTACCAAACTCAGTGCGCAGTACAGGCTTGGGGTCGGCAAGACCAAGTTCTACTAAAATGTCATTTTCATCAAGAGCATCATCATTGCCATGATTAGAATTCGTTTGGCTTTTATCAGCTGAGAGATTATCTCTAGTAGTTGTAGTTAACCCTTGTGTACCACGGAGATTTCGACGATACGCTTCGAGAACTCGCTTGTTCTGTTCGTGTTGCGTCAACTGTTGCCTCAAAAGCCGACGCGGCGAGGATAATGCGGTCGAAGGTAAAGGGCGTGAGGAAGGTGGAGACTGGGCACTTGGCGACGATGATGTTAATTGCGACTGGTGTTCCAGCGAGGCAATTAACTCACACAGTTGGTCTTCCTGCTTCTGTAATCGCCGCTCAAGTGTCATGACAACGCGTCCATGTTGCTCCGAGAGGGACTGTGTCTGCTCTTCCACAAACAGACGCTGACGCTTTTCCTCCTGTAACATGCGCCGGAGGGTTTCCACCTCTGCAGCGTGTTCACTAGGACCGTTACCATTGGCATTCTTGTTAGCAGCGGCAGTATTATTATTCGTATTGGTGGTGGTGGTGACGGTATAATTGCCGTTAGAAGCGCCCGTGGGATATTGACCGGAACGGGATGACTTTCTAAAATCCCCTTCCCTGCTAGACGATAAAGGAGGGGAAAAAGGCCGATCTTTCTGTTGTAATCGTTGAAGCTCTTTTCTCAGTTCAAAAATAATTGCTATTTGCTCCTTGTCCTTCTTCTCCATCGAGGCAATCTTTTCCGAAAAATGACTCTCGACACGTTTAACGATGCGCTCTATTTCTTGTGCTTTTAAAGTCGCCTGCTTCTGAGAGTGGGGGCGAGTCGGAAAGCCAGCGTCGCTGTTGATAGGTGATGCCTGCTGCTGGAGCACAAAGGCAGAAGGTTCACCCTGCAAGTATTCGGCCAATGTGTGACTTATTTCCACCAACTCCGAAAGTAGCTGTCGCACCTGATGGCCGTTGTCACCGCTACCGTGGTGACTCTTATGATTTCTTGTCGAAGGCGTCACGTAGGAACTGCCGTCGGGTGACAATTCCATCCCCCTCACAAAGCTGACACGCCGTGCTTCAGACGAGATGCCAGTCGCTGGGTTACTGTTGGCGATAGTATTATAATTCCCACGCTGCCTCCCATCGGTCGAAGCTGCTCTCCGCTGCTCGACGCCTTTCTCACTCATTGCACCTACAGTCCCAGCACGCCGGGCGTTACTTGATGCCGCGCGGCTTTTGGTCAGGCGCCGTTGTTGAGCGTACGATGAAGACGCGGCGACTCCACCCGCCATTCGCTGCCGACCACGCTCCACCGCAATTGACGACTGCGAATAAAAAGGCATTGGACCATTCGGTGAGGTAAAGCGCTTTCCCGGGCGCATACTCGGCACTTGTGGAAACACGTCGTGTTCGAATCACAAAAAAATAAATAAATAAATAAATAAAACAATGGCGAAGGAGAACACTGCGCTGAGCCACAGTGGACCTCCCACAGAGGAGAGGAAATAACTTCGTGCAAATAACTGAACGAAAGTAGTAACATTAAGAAAAAGAAAACTGCGGTACACCAACATGTACGTGAGTGCACAAAACGTCAAAAAAAAAGAACACACACACACACACATGTCGAGCTGATGATCTTACCAAAATGCGTTAATACCACGGTCTTAGTGTGATGTGACTGAAAGGTGCCTCTCACACACAAACACACACACTTTCTCTATCTATGTATTTATATATGTCTTATATCGGTCTGTATCCTCTGTTGTTTGTTTGTTTGTTTGTTTCCCCATTACTTTGTTTCCTTCTTCAGCCTCCGTAACGCCAAAAAGCCTCATCATACACACACCAGCAACACAGTTGCGTGGGGGCAAAACAACAGAAAAGGAGGAGAAGGAGGGAAATGAAAAACAAATATATATGTAAAGAAAGAAACAAAAAAGTCCCTCATTCTCTTTCCTTCTTGTGTTTTTTATGCTTATTGTGGTGATGTTGCTTCTTATGCTTTTCCTTCTTGTGGCGTGAACGTTTATGAGACCTCTTTTCGCGATCGCTTTCATCCTCCTCGTCATCATCGTCATCATTGTCGTCGCTTTCTTCCTCTTCTTCGTCATCATCGTCCTCCGCTTCGTCTTCTTCGTCTTCCATAGACAAACCGATTCGCCGCACCGTGACTTTCTTCTCAAGATACGCCAACAAAGCCGCCTTTTCACGCTTGTCCAGAGCCGAGAAGACAAGTTTATTCTCCGTTGTGGTGCCGGTATGCTTGCCAAATTGGCCGTAAACCACCATTTGAAACGTCGCACTGCCACCTTCTGACTCATCCACCTCCACGTGTGAGACTTGGCTAAACAGCGCGCGTGTGACGGGACGATGAAGAAAAAGAAGGGCAGAGTGCAGAACAAAGAGAAGTCCATGAGCGCCCTGGTGTAAGCAGCGGAGCACGGAGTATCCCCTGCTCGTTTGGTACTCCTTGTTGAATCCACCAAGCGCAGTCACACCCGTTAAAGCCTTCAAAACCCGAATGAGAATTTCACTTACACGTCCCGACATCATTGGTGCGAAGGTATTCTTGATTTTCTTGCTTCCCTCCTCACTTTTTACCGTTGCCGTGGGTGCGGCTGAAGAATTGCTTTGGTTGTGGGGCAGCGTCGCAAGGAAACTGTCAATCTCTTCCTGTGTTTCCAACTGGCACCGCCACGGGTGTGCCTCGTCAAGGGCAAATCCAGCGGGACAAGAAATAACAATGTGCCTGTACGTCGTGGTACGCACCTTCAATGGATTGCGCAGGATTATAACGACGTATTGCGCGAGTTCCTCGTTTTCCTGTTCCCCAGAACCGCTGTCTGGAATGTCACAGAGATACAACTGCAGAATATCGCTAAGCGGTGCAAAAGGTGCAACTCCACCACTCCCTGCCGCCCCACGCTTCTTCTCCTCCAGCACCAAGGAGTAGTTCGACAGAATAAGTTTGTAGCGCCCAGACGGATACGAAAAGGTGATATCATCCATCACCGCAACGATACGCTCATCCTCACGATTTCTACCAGCCATCATCATAAGCAACTGATTATCCGTCCCCTCATTGGCAGCAGAACCAACCTCACCAAGGAGACGGGACTGGTACTTTTTAATCGCTTCCTGCGTTTCAGCGAGTATCTCGCGTCCTGCCTCTTCCGTCTGTTCGTGATCGACGCACACGTTGGGAATCGCAAAACGAATGGAAGTCAATTCCACTGCCACACCTCCTCCACTCTGTGTCGTTGTCACAGAGGACTGTGGACGCAAGGTGAGTGAAAGATCGTTCTTTGTCGTTGCAGAAGCACTTGCAATGAGGGAAACGGGGATACTAACAATGGGCTTCTCCACCACACTCGCAGGTGTTCCACTGCTGTGATGCTGTGGCTTGGGCAAAGAGACTAGCTGCAGTAGGGCCTCCTCATCGCCGTCCGAATTGGCGCCATTCGTACCATCGGGCTTCCCATCCTTCTTTGGATTCGCCAGTACCACGCCACTGTCACCGTTCGCATTCGACTTTTTGCGCTGCTGCTGACGCGTGGTCCACCTAAGGGCACCCCAGTTTTCAACCGGCAGCGTATTGGTGGCCACAGCAACACCTGTCAAGCTGGACATAATACAATTTCTCCTCCAATAAAAAAATTTCTGTTAAAGTTGCTATAAAAGTTAATTAAATTTAAAAAAGTACGTAATTGTATTTATGCACGTATATATTATATATATATATGCTATGTGTAGCGACGATGATAATGGGCGGTTACACAAACCACACTCGGTGCACTTATCCTTTTTTTTTTTTTTTTTTCTTTTCTCTTCGCAACCCAATCAAAAGCATGCAAATCAGAAAAAACAACAAAAACAAAAACATCCAAAGAACAAAGTCACCACAAAAAATATAAACCTCAAAATTGGAAACACACACGCACACATAATATCATCGCAATAATCATAATCGAGAAATGATAGAAAAACACATGACCTGCAGGCAGTATTGTGTCCGTAAAAAAATGAACAAAAAAAACTTCCATTTCATATCCATAACAACAACGTTGTCGATTGCTTTCAGTTCAATTTCGTTTTTTTTTTTTTTTCTTTTTCGTCATTTCGAGCTCCAATGGCACCATCCAAATTCAATTCCTTACATATCAACAAGAAAAAAAGGCCATCGCTATCGTCGCCGCAATACCAAAAAGAAGAAACCAACTCAGAAAACACGAAAATGTATGAATTTTATACTGAACCTTCAGCAGCTCCGAAGGTGTGGAAAGAGTATACAGCAGCATCAATGGCAAATCCTCTACTTCGCCCAAAGGTACCCGCAACATGTCTTTGTAAAGTTGACGAGCCGCGGGATCCAAAGCTGCTAGCCGTGAGATCCAGCAGCTCATCGGCCGCACCGATGTGCCTTCAAAAAACCACGAAGGCGGCCACAAGAATGTCCACCATAACCACCACCTCTGAGGCGCCGAGCATTCCCTCATGAATTCCGAGAGCGTGCCTGATGTCCCAAAAGAAGTTATTGCGTCATTTGATAGATATTTTCCATAGTGGCGTTTGACCCATCCAATCAGTCTAGTGAAACGTTGACGAAAATACGCCGCGTTGCTCTCGTCGTTGTCTTCGTCCATTTCCTGTTCATGGGACTTCTCCCAATCCCATTCCTTGTCGTCCTCACTCCGCTGCTCAAGAACGTCTTCGTGAGAACGAATAAAAAGATCAAAGGCATTCAGCCATCGAATTTGAGCCTCCTGTGAAATGAGCTCGACGGCACGAGTTCCCGCATACGTCTCTTCCTCCACTTCTTCTTCCGCAGTTCCCATTTCTTCTTTCATCGATGTTTCCCCTCCACCCGAAGGCTTTTCCACCACATCCGTATCCAGAAACTCATGTGAACTGAGTTGAACGTCCATGCTTTTTGCAAGTGTGACGCTTTTTTCGACTGTACTTAATTCACCATGCACCACATTATCCCCGTCATCGCCAGCAACAGTTTCCTCGGTAGTTTCCTCCTTCCCTTCCAATTCATCACGTTGGTTATTGACAGCTTCCGGAACCTCATCCCTATTTGGCGGAGGTTGGGAAGGAACCGAATCGGAGGCCAAAGAGGCATTGCCTTCTTTTACCCCTTCATACTCCGGTGTCAACCGCACCGGTTGCTCCAGAAAGCACCAAAGACCACGAAATAAAGGCAAAAAGTCAATGGCCTTGCGAAAACTATCATTATGCCCCTGCTCTTTGAACTTCTCTTCATTCGTTGTGTTAAAAGACTTTTGCGTAGCACTCTGGTTCTGGCTCGATAAATTCAGCCGCCATAAAACAATTGTCTGCCATTCCTCTTCATGCTCATACCAATACTTCACCTCCGCCAGAATATTTCGCATCATTAAACCAAAATTCTCAGCAGATATAGAATCATACCCGTTGAAGGGATCGCTGGTACTCGTCACAAATTCTCTAAGTATGGCCTCAACATGTTCTCTGGTAGGCGTCATCATAGAAGATGCCTGATCAACCTTTTCACTACTGTCGTTCTCCGAATTTGAAAAAAACCGAGGTTTCTGCGGCCGCCGAATTGCTTCTTTTTGTCTGTTTCTATCAGGTTGAATCAAAGGGTCAAACTGAAGGAGTGCAAGAGTTTGTCGACGGAGTAGGACAGAGCGTAGTATATGACCGTTTTGACCCGACAATAGTCCATTTTCCCCGTGCTCGTCACCCACGGTAACTTCAGTAACCGCAGCTCCGACGGAAGTGGACATCTTATTCATCCCCGAAAATTTAGAAGACATCTGATGAAGATACGCCTCATACAGCGGCCCCATAACGACATCCTGATACTCCATTAAGATTCCCTCAATCAGATTTGAGAGATGCAGAAGTTCCCGCGTGAGTCTAAGGCAGTTGCGACGCTCGTACCAATCCTCAGGAGTGACATCTTGCGTGACAAGTTGTCCATTCGCAAGCACCTCCGTATATCGTTTAAGTTTTTGTTTCTCTCCTGTTTCTCCGTAAATACTGCTGTCGCCACTACTCTTTTTGAGCACCCGCCATCGCAAAAAAGAGGATCTGATACGGTTGTTATGGTTATCGCTACTAATTCTTCTTGAGAATATCCATTTCACCATCGTGATAGCCTCGCGCAAATAATGCACCAGTCGATTCAGATCTGCCTTGATGCGTGCTGTCGAAAACCTACTCGTTGATTGAGGATATCCCTCCTTTTGGGAAAAGGCAGCATTTTTATCCCAAATAGCATCTCCATCACTCTTAATATGCATATTCTCCTCATCTTCTTTGTCTCTCAAGAGAGAATCAAGAGAAAAGCCATCAACCAAACGGCTGCTTCCGTCAAAGATTGTCTCGGCATCAACGAGTTCGCGCCGCATGCGTTGTAGTCGTATTGCAATCATTTCTTGTTGCACGGTCACATAACGCGCAAGAAGTTCCTTGACGACTGTTATCATATCCTTCAGCGTCACACGGACAGGTGGAGGGGATCGCATCGTCATCAGCATTACCGTCGCAGACGTCCCGCCACGGTGAGCGCCTTTTCCCATGGACAACCCATGAATCTCAGTGCGCCACTGTCTGAGCTGCTCCAGTCCGCGAGTCACGCGAGCCACCGTTTCCTCGGGAAGTGGCTCATACCAGCGGTCACCAACCACCAGTCCTAAAAGCAAACGAAACACAAACAAAAACCCGATAATCCCCAGCAACACCACTCCCAATGTTACAGCAACACGCAGAGGACTCTCAGAAAAATTACTAAAAATCAGGTCAAAGCATCGGGACCAAAACGTGGTATCCGCCCCACGTTGTCTTCCACGGCGTCTTCGATTAACCAGGAGAGCTCCACCGAATCGCTGCGCTTGAGGTGTGATAAAGGAACCTTCCTTCTGTTCTGAATGGCGTGGAACGCCAATTATAAAGGGCATATTCACGCCAACTGAAGCACTGCTTCGCCCATTATTCTCTTCTTCGCAATCATCACGGTTGTTGGCAGCTTTCCTTGCACGCCCTGTTGAGGAAGAACTTACCAAATCGTCGTCGTGAGGAGAAGCTGCAGGAGAACTTGTACAGGGCATTCCGGACGATTTCGCTCCATCATTTAAGGGATTGTTTGGCCTTGGGATCGTGTTTCCACCAACGGGTGGAGTTTGGTTAATCTGATTGGAGTTAGGCAGAATACCGTCGGTGCTGGTAGCAGGTGGCATGGCCCTCCCACCGTCACCACCATTTATACTGTTCGAACTTTCATTCGCACCAGCGCTCGTGACGGGGCACTCTGGTCCAGACGTCTTGTTTGCCGCGGATGCAGCGTCTTTAAGTGCTTGCAACTCCTTAGATGCCTCCACAATATCCATCAAATGGTAGAAATAATGTTTACCACTGCTATTGAACCGTGACGAAAGACTTTTCCCCCGCGTCATCTTGATTGCAAGTACCGAAGTTGGTGTGTCTTTAATATATTTTGTGGTCACAGAAATCGATTTCACATTTTCCCATGCAAATTCTGCCCTCAACAGATCGCCGGTAAAATAACACCCAAAAGCATCAGCCATGAGAGTGCCCTGAAGGCCTTGGTAGGTGCACGTGTGACGCACCGAGGCAACCCGCTGCTTCTGAGGTGTGCTAGAGGGCGTGGATGGCGCCTCGTCCCCTGCCATTTACTGTGGCAGCTTTGAGACAAAAAATGGCAAAAGTGAAGCAAACAACAACTAAAAATTGATGGTTGCACTTGTTGTGAATCCACAACCCCCTCTGCCTGTTTGTTTCCCGTGCGTCCGTCTGCCTCTCCGTGTACGTCCGCCAACCCCCTCACTTCCTCTTGGAAAAAACGACGACAGTTTAGAAAAATAGTTTATTTTTTTTTTTTTCCTTTACTTTTCTACAATCTGCCTGCAGCGACTTTCGCGTTTCACGCGCCCGCACACTATGTTTCTCTATTTTTTATTCAAACGTTCCAAAAACAAAGAACAGAAGAATGTCACTCACAATAATTGGTGTATATATGGGACTGGCTTTTTTTTTCTTCCTTTTCTTGCTCTTGTCTATTATTCCTCTGTGCCCTCCCAAAAAAAAAAAAAAAAAAAAAAAAAGAGGTTGCTGACGTCTAATGCCCCTCTTTTTCAATGGGCACGGCTAGGCAGCAACGTGAAGAAGACTAAGGGATGGTCAGAGGCAAAGAAATAGCAGTAAAGCATCAAGGAACATGCATACACACCATGTGTGATATGGCGACGTGTACGTCAACAAAAAGTGAGCTGCGACAGAAGAGAAAAAAAAAAAAAACGGCAATGCCACGGGCATCCATTTTGTTGCGGAAGTAACAACACGCGTCTGCAACCTCAGTAACACCAATACCAAAATTGACAAAAAAATAAAATAAAAAAACAAAGTGAAGAAAAAAAGAAAAATACTTTTCAAGAAATATAAAAACAAGGGCAATGACAAACACAACAGGGAGCATTCTATCCCCCGATGCTAAATCATCCATCTCTTGCTGTTTCTAACCAAAGCAGCACGTCAAGTGAAAAGTGCACGCCGTGTCGCACTACCAGGATTATCCTCCTTTTCCATATGCAAGCCACATACACTGCTTTCCTCAAAAGCCCCTTCTTTATACGCAGCACTCCCATTTTTAGTGCTCGATGGTTCCTTTGGCCCATTTGAAGCAGAGGACAATTCTTCCCGCTTCACTTGCTTTTTCTCCTCCAAATTTACCCCTCCCGTCTTCATCTCCTTCTCGTGCTGCTGGTGATGAGATGATTCCTGTTTTTTTTCTTGTTCTTGACGTTGGCGCAGTATCTCTGCATATATGCGGCAAGCATCCATGGAAAAGTGCTCCCCTGCAGCACCAGGAAACGGCAAAAAAGAGTTGTCCTCACCATTGTAATGTTCTTGTGGCTCTGTCGTATTCCAATTCGTGTCTGCGGTAAATTTCTTTTTTGTCACTGGAGAAAAGGAAGAAGGGGAATGAGGGGTCATGGTTTTGACAAAAAAGTCACCATTCAATTGACCTTCCGCCAGCGGAACAACCACATCCACCGAGTCATCATCATCATCATTGTTGTCTGTATTCAGTCCATTTTTCTGGGTCTTGCTATTTACACCACTCCATGAGGGCCCATTGGTAGTAGCGTACGGCGTCGATGCAATACTTTCCCCCTGAATTGCTCCCATGCATCTTGACAATGTGTGCTCTTCAAAAGTAATCTTGTCACCATCGCCATCATGGTGCACCTCTTCTTTAAATGTCATTTCACGCTCCTCCAGCTCACCATTCCGTGTATCGGCATCATTCCCCATATCATTGACGACACCATTCATGCGCTGATTCAGGCTACGTTGTCTACGTTGTATAGCTGCTGCCTCTTCAAAAAGTTGTTGGAGCGACAACCATTGGAGGCTTTTATGACGATATTTATTACCTTTATTATCATGCTCTCCGTCACTCTTTTCGACAGCGCCGTATGGGCTGAAGCCCTTGTCGTACATAGACTGCAGCCCCTTTTCCTCCTGTCCTACCCTCCTTGTAGATTTGGTGCTCTGCATTGATGATGACGATGAGTTACTCTCACCATCACGCCACGGTGTATTTCCATAATTCGACTTCTCTTCACGACCAGCGTCAACACTTCTGCTATACCTCTCCGTCTCCTGCAGAGGTTGACGCCTCTCCGCCTGCGTGTTCACACTGGTGCTGTTTGTCCACGGATTGCTGCTTTCGTCCCCCCCATTTAGACCGTAATCACTAGGACGAAATTTACGTGGGCTATATGAGAGCGGATCCGCCCGACGCATTGCGGCCATTCGCTCCTTTGCGGCATTCTCACGAAGAAAATCTGCATGCGTCTTCCGTGGTGGTCTTTTCTCAATCCCACTAGTTGCTGTCGTCGCCTGAACAATTCCGGAAGAGTCCGTCAGATGTGTAGGAGAACACACCCCACTGAGCGCTAACTTCTCCCGTAGACGTCGTTCGGCCTGCTTGAGCGATTTCTCCTCCCGCTCAATGTAGTCCATTGCGGCTTTTCTTTGGGCCGCCTCTTCTCGCCGCCTGAGAGCGGCTGCTCCGTATGCAATCTCCTTTTGCCGTTTCTTTACCCTACCCGCTGTGCGCTTGTTCGACTCAACAAGAAGATCTAATTCTCTTCGTAACCGTGCGGCCTCCTTTCGTTGATCAACAATAAGGCGACGATCTTGCTTGAGTTGCTCTTTCAGCAGTGACACAGCTTCCTGCATGCCCCGCTGTCGAGACTGGGAAGCGAGGAGAGCCTCCTCAAGGAATCGCGCTTGTTGCAATAGCTTTTCCTTCGCCGTCAATGTGTTGCTATTCGAAGTCCCAGTCGAAAATGTGGAGGTGTCACGATCATCCAATGAAAATCGACTTGGGTCACTTGCAATGGCACTATGGTCCGGTAAACCTTCTCTTCTCAGTCGTTGCATCAGTATTGGCGTTAGAGCGGCAATTGCACTTTGAAATCGGCTTCCTCCTCCACTTTCCTCACAAAAACTGCCACCGCCATTTTGCGTCCCAACGGCTTTCACGGTAGAAGAGCGAAATACAGTTGGTGTGTCCCCGTTCCCCTCTCGATGCAAAAATGGACTGCTGTGCTGAAGGATAGAGCTATGATTGCAGTTGGCGCCAGAGTTGCTACCATTGCTTGCATTCATGGAAGTCGTTGCTGTGGCCGACTCATAGTCTTTGCTGAGGTACGCGCTGGCCCTATTTTCCGCATCTGTTGCATCGCGTGCAAAAGCGCCAATAGAAGCAATCCTCCTGGAGGGGATAATGGGCGTATTTTTACTGGCAGAACCAGTTACCCGCACTTCTGGTCGAAGTTGCGCAGCCACGGTGGCACCTCTCTTCATCATGCTCTGTGCACTGCGTGATCTTTCACGCCTGCGAAGGGTGTCGGTCGAATCCTCAGAGGCGGAGAACACTTCCCTACCCCTCCATCCAACAGAGCTAGAACCGCGCATATGAGCTTGCGAGGAATTTTGGGACGTATTTACGCTCCCGTCTGAGACTATTGGTTTTGATTGTTTTTCTCGGTGTCCCTTTTGATCCCCAATTGGTGAGGAATTAATCTGTGAATTCATGCTACGCCGTGAAGCCTTGGCGTCTCCCCTCTTTGTGATTGATCTATCAATATTTTTTATGACGTCTTCGAAAACCTCTCGTGCTGCTTTCATGAGCCCCTCACGCGCCGCATTCACATCCACGCCCCCATCGAGCTCCGCAACCTGTGGAATGACTTGTTGTAGAAGTGCTGCGTATAGCACTTCGGCTAGTGTACTACAACCAGAACGTTCTTGACGTAAAAGAAGAGCTTCTATTTTTTCATTATGCTGCTGGGCGACTTCGCGGACAAGACACTGAAGAGCAGAGCGCTTCTCAAATTCCTCTTCATTGCCATCGCACCCTTGATCATCCACCCCAGAATCAGAAAGGATCAAAGGTAGCAACAACAACTCCAAAAAAGTGGCAATGGTTGTCTGTGGGGCACGCATGAACGCTTCCACAACAGGGTTGCCATGCATATCAAGAGAATGTAGCTTTGGGCAAAACGTGGCCGCCGCAGAAACCGCCGTCAAATCTGACACTCCACAGCTTGCTGCACAAAGATCGGTTAATGACTCCATTCCGCAGAGAACACCATTGAGCGCGGATAAATGCGTATTGCCATCCAACTGCAAAACGGTCACTGCAGAAGTTGTGCATTGTAACCACACTGCTTTTTCCTCTTGGTTGAACGCATGTAAAGCAACTGGACGCTCCACGACTTCTTGCCACATCCCTTCCACTATTTCGCTCTCATCCAGCGTCAAGCTCAGCGCGTTGTACGAAAGATCCAGTTTTCTTAGGTGGGGAAATCGCCTTCGGTTAAAGAAAAAAGCCACGGTGATTGGACACGCACGACGCAGGCGTCCCAAAGACATTTTCATTCCATCTGATGCGGTTCCTGCCGCTAAAAACGCGCTTCCACAGCCTTCACTTCTATTCGTACCGCCACTCTCCACCGCCTCGTTGGTCATAAAAGTACACAGTTCGTTGTGGGCGAGGTTCAACACACAGAGTGAAGACGGCAGAGCGTCTAGCCAGACGCATGCATCCGGGCCTGAACGGCTGCCAAGGCTGTTGTGCGCAAGATCTAGTTGGGCGAGGCGGTTAAAAAGGGCACCAAGGCCAACGATACGCTCAATGCGGTTGTTGCAGACATTCAGCAACCGCACATGACCTGCGACAAGCACCTCCTCCTCCGACGCCCCTGCTCGGTCAAATCGCAGCTCGGAGATCGATCTGAAGGAGAGGTCAACTTCCATTTCCGCAGAAAAAAAAAGCCGCACAACGCAGCAAGAAAGACGCCGTTGTGACAAAAAGAAGGAATAAAAACAAAAGCGATGATACTGTGCGCAGTAGGTTTGCGGTGCCGCACCCTCTATGTTATTTTACTTCTATCCGTCTGTTGCCGGACTGAAAATGCCACAAACGTATACCACAACTAAGAGAAACCCAAAATTGGCAGCCCAGTCAAGTCCACACACACACACAAACAGAGAGAGACAAAAGACACGTGCCGCGTCCCCTCTTTTTTCCTTTGAGCTGCCGCCTCAGGTACCTCTTTTAAGTTTGGTTGAAGAGAAAAAGTGTGATTCTTCTCTTGGGTGTGTAAAACCAAATATGTTAAATGCCTGCGTGCAAGAGCACACGCCTCTTCCTTCTCTGGACACACCGCCCAAAACTTTTCTCTTTTTCCCTTCCGTGTTTTTGTGTGTCACGGAAAATAAAAGAAATTAAAAAATGCAAGGTGAGCAGAAAACAAAAAAAAAAAAAACAAAAGAAAAAAAAACGAGCAGCCCAGAAAAAAGTCCCAATAACAACTCTACTTGCTGACGGTACGTGTGTACGTATAATATATATATATATATTGTGTGTGCCCCCCAATACGGGAAATAAGGGTTGGGAGCAGTGCGCCCCAATGCTGCATTCACTTTCACCAAAACCATAGCAAGAAGGAGAGGCTAGATCAATATTATACAATACGACAGTACCTCAATGTAAGGTTTACAAGGAGCATAAAATAATAACAGAAAACAGAAAAAAAAAAAAAAAAAGACCTATAACGTTGGCCAGGAAAATACATATGTTTCTTTTTCGTTTTCCTCTTCGTCGTTCTCGCGCACAAGCTCCCAGACGGCATCGTCTGGTCGCTGAAGTTCTTGTTGCCGTTCATGCTTCTGGATTTCAGACGTTTCGAGTGAATGCGCGGAGGCCACCCTCGTAGAGCTTCTAAATGTGCTGCTACTGTAGCTAACCCCACCGCTCTCTCGCCGACAAAGAGTCTCGAACTTTGTTAAAACTGAATGGGAATTCCTCACCCAAGACGCGGATGACACTGTCATCCTTCGCCCTTCGTCCTTTTCCTCCTTCCTAGCATAGGCCTTATCATTGTATTCGTCGTCCTCGTCTTCGTCCTCGTCGCCGGAGGGCACCAACGTAAACTCATTGCCCATCCCACTTTTATTTGTTGCCGGCTCCGACACTGCAGTGAGAGGAAACACCGTCGTGAGTGAACCGCCGTGCACGCGGAACAAAAAATCTCCGCCCATGGCCGTCGTCATTTTCTTCTCGCGGAGAAGGCCGCTTACACTCGCCGGTCGTTTAGTGCCACACGTTCCAGAAACCGTTGGGGTCTCACCAACGCCGCACAGGTTCTGCATATTACGCCAATATTCTTCTTTGCTGCCAGAAAGTGCCACCATCGCCTCCACCCCGGCGGAGTCTCCCAAGTCTCCACGATGCATCTGCTCCGTGGCCACGGCAACTTCGTCACCACGAGCAAAAAAGCAAGTTTCTCCACTTGGGAAGCCTGACTGTGGCCGTCTCACACCTTGCAAAGAATTCCTCCGCGAGCGCGCCACTCGAAGAAGCTTCTCTGAGCCACGCAAACCAATTCGTTGTTCATCGCTCTCGTCATATCCGTTGACCACACGGGAAATCCGCTCATGTTGCAATCCTTGCCTCTTATCCCTGTCGATGCGACGCAGCGGATCGGCGGACGAAATCGCGTGCAGAGTTGAGAATTTGGGGAGCATGAGGGAAGCGTGGTCCATACGACTCTCCGTAGGATCGGACACAGTGGGAAGGAGAAGATCCGACGTGTTCTCGTCGCAGTAGATATCAGAGTTATTTGCTGCTGTCTTCGCCCTTTCCTGCAGCCGCCTCCAATCAGATATGCAAGAACTCGTTTCCCCTTTTTTCCCCCCAGGAGATTTTCTCTGTGCACCAGTCACCGAGTCCACTGTCAATAAATCATGAGAGTAACCATAACGCTTTGACTGTTTGCGCTCCTCCGCAAGAAACGAAGGGGGCACCGTATCCGCTGAAGAAAAATGATTCAACGCCCGTCGCACCTCTTCTTGCACCTTCTTCATTTCCTCAATTTCGCCGGCTTTGTAGGTGCCATAATGCATGCTGCTGAGTGGACTGCGTGATGACGACGGGGCAAATGTGTCATCATTATTAGAGGCACTTCCACCTCCTTCTTCATCCTCTTCCATTGCAAGCAAGGAAGGGGACACAAAAAATCGATTTGCGACTGAAGCACCCAATGGAGATAACAACTGCTGTAATTCTGCTTTGCTCTGAGAAGGAAGTCCTCTTCTGTCCGTATGCGACTTCATGGAAACCGTGTTCGTCGCCCCACTCACCAATGCCTTGCTTCTTAGCTTATTGCAAAGAAATTCCGCGTGTGGCACACTCAGTTTTCCATCAAAAAGCATCGCAAAGTCAATGCCAATAAAAAAAGGGTGAGACAAGAGGGCCCACGTCTGGTGCCGTGCAGTTTTGTCAACACAAGACGCTGCCGATTGCAAACTCGTGTCCACAAGAATTTTGAAAAAGTGTTGAATTGTCAGCATGAAGGCCTGTGAGGATTGAATTTCCTGTGCAAAATGAGCGGCAGCAGCCGCGGGATCCACAGTGGCTAAACCATCCGCCCCATCTCCTCCTCCTTTTGAGATTAAATGGGAAGGGGAGTGTGAGCGCAAAGCAACTGCATAGGCATCTGCAAGCGAGACAGCCCTCAATGTACTGTGTGTGGCGTCCCTTCCTGTCCCTGTGGTTTCTGAAAGGGACGAACCCTCTGACCGCCTGCGACGCTCCTCCATCATCACCCATGCTTCCACATTGGGGAGAATGGACGCCTCTACTCGTGAGTGTACAAAGCGTTGCAATGCCTGCGCAACTGCGGTCTGTCGATGGTGTGCCACGTTTTCAGACAAAGAATGATTTGTCGCCTTAAAAATGCGCTTCCATAATTGCCAGGTATTTTTTTTACCCCCCGGCAGCGTTGAAGTGAAGGGCCGTTGCTCGCGGTCTCCCATCATTGACGGCAAAGGCGCGACCGCCACAAGGGATTCGCCTGTTACAGAAAAAAGATCAAATAATAAACAAAGATATAACCAGTAGTCATCTCCAATCGTCCACTCCGAAGCCCCGGATTCCCCAAGCACTGTGCCATGGGCAAGATGGAAAAGGTACCGTGGGGGAATATACTCCAAAACACCAGACTGCTGGCGCTCATACACCCAAGCATCCGAGGAAACACCAAGTGTAGGAACCACAAGATGAAAATCTCTTGTAGTTAAACCAACACCTTTGTCGTCATTGTCGCTCAAAGAAATGCTACTTACGGCTGCAGGGTTCCAACGCACGAAAAGCCCTTCAGGAGTGCGGGGCCCCAAAACAACGCCTTTCCCATGCAGTGAGACAAGTACCAAAAGTAACTGCGCCGCAACAATACGGGTCAAACTCCAACGGGTGGCAAAAGACGCGTGTGGCGAACGTAATACTTTATCAATAAAAGACCGAAGCGATATGACACCAAAACGCTGACGGTGTTGAGGTGTTAGAGGGGAAGGAAAGGCAGCGTTGTGTTTTATTTCCGAAAGCACCGAGAAAATAGGGACGCAAACAATGTAACAATTATAGGCATCACATAGCACCGCGGCAATAGGGTTCTGGTAGGGCATGCGCGAAAGGTATTCCGCCACGAGTGCCGCCTCCATCATACTTCTTGAGACCAAATCACCCTCACTGCCCCAGTACTCCCCAGCGGCTGCAGCATCCGCCCAGAGAAGTTTTGTCCTGTTGCGCGGAAGCACACGCACATCAAATAACTGCGCGCTGGGAGTGTGTAAAGCGCGGTACACGACACCGTACTCATCAAAGGCTACGGCGGAATTAAGTGTAACTGGCGTGAGCGATGGTGTTGCTGCTGAAGAAAGTGGCTTTAGTTTGCCTCTAGAAGATGTTGCTTCCAGCACAAAGTCTTCTAATCGATAGGGGCTCTTTCCAAAGACACCACGCTCCCTCACAAATACGGATGCAACGCGCCGCACACACTGTTCACGATAACTATTATAAACAAACTTCTCTGCTTTTCGCGAGAAGGAAGCAAAACAACGAATCGTCACATACACTGATTCCCCGTTGTTAGCAGTTAAATAACTTGGTATGCCAGGGGTGGGATGCATCTCGATAATATTAACTTCGCTTGCCCATAAAAGTGCCCGATACGCTTTTACAAATGCACTTTTGGTGGTAAAAGTCAGTTTGGCGCCGTGCACACACCGCGTCGCAGCCATCGCATTATGGCTGTGAAACAATGGCACCTCCACCAACACAGCCAGAGAAGAAGTTTTAGAATCACTAGAATCGTTAAAAATCCGCCGGCAGGGCATTAAGTACACGCTGAGATCCAAGGCATACCTTAGGCTGATGTCCACCGCAACGTTTGTGAGTAAAAGAAAAAGTTCATCCCTATCGTCACCACGTCCAAATACAAATCCATCTTCCTTTTCATGCCGCAAAAGCACGCGCTTTTCCTGCCGCATAATTACTTGCCTGTATTGTGACACCTCAGTTGTGCGAAGAAGCTGGGGGGTGAGTGGAATCGAACAAATGGGTGATGACGCCGAGATCGCGGTGGATTCCGTGATGTGAGGGCCAAACATGTTCAACGGGTCATCGGGTGGCTGTGGGAAGAAAAGGGCCTCAAAATGCGCAGGCACCACTGTAGGCGCATCGGTACCGTCAAGACTAGTGGAACCAGCAGAGTTTTCCAAGAACGGAGAAAAAACATCATGCCGCCCTGGCAATGCGCCCCCGCATACCTGAATACACCACCGAGGCAGCTGAACATCACGGCGTCCCTTGCCACTACCCCGCACGTTCGCTGATAGGCGCGACACCTGCCGGGTGGCTGTTCCACCTCCACTTAACGCCTTCACAAGTGGCTCCATGGTGCACCACAAACCATACCTCCCCGCCGTTCCACGCTCTTGTTGCCTCGATTGTATTCTTGTACTTTGGACACTTCCTCTCATCTTTCCTGTTGCACCCCCCACTTCTGTTGCTTCTTCCTTCTCGTTGCCGTCGTATTCTCCTTCTTCCTCCTCTTCCATCGCCGCCCCACCCGGGAGTTTGTGCGGTAAATATGCACCGGGAGCTGCAGCAAGAATTCCATTCTTGTGCAGGAGTGATGTATATGCGATAACATCATCCGCCTCGTGGATCGGGAGGGGGTCAAGGTTAAAAAACGCCTTCACGTAGTCCTCCTCGTTTACGTCGTCTCTCACCTCTTCATGCAAAGACTTGGTAATAAAATTACCGCGTGGCCCATCACACCTCAACAAAGTGGAATGCGATACTTCGGAGGGCTCTCGGAAAATCATAGTGTCCTCCCCACAATCCGTGATACTTTTCAACTGGTTCCTCATGTACATAAAGGATTCTGCCATGTACCTTGATGATTCCGTGGTCCTCAAATCAAGGGAAGGTGCCGTCAATTCTGAGGGAAAAATCCACTCACGCGGAAGTGGAAACCATTGTGGTCCACCTTCACTGTCCATGCACACAGGCTGCAGCAAAGAGAGAAGAGTCTCCGCTGCTGTTTTCAGCTTCCCTTGTCCCTCCTGCAGTGCAGCAGCAGCCTCACTTTCCGTGTAGGGCAACTTACCGTCAACCCCTCGGTCTCTTCGCAGAAGCCATCGACGCAATATGGACCATGCACCGTCGTTATCATCATTATCGTCATTTTTGTAATTCCGCTTGTCGGCTTGAGTCTCCCTCCGCTCCTTCTCCTCCAAGCTGCGCCGGCGCTTTGCTTCAGGGATTCTATTCGAGTCATGATCGCCAGCCACAGCCAACAAATTATCGCGGTTGAGGAATTCTTCATTCGTCTTCCCCACAACTCGCGCGCTTAACCTTCCAGTTGCAACACTGTCTAGAACGCGTCGGGGAAGATGGCCGGGTGGAGGAGCCACCACCTTCTCGTCCCATTCGGGGACAGACTCTTGGCAAACGGAATCCAAACTTTGATCATTTCGACGTCGTGGAGCAAAAAGCACCCAAGACCGTCGACCGTCAGGTGCTACCGTGGACTTGACACTTCCTCGCGTAGGTGGTTGTCGTTTCGGAATTACTATTGGCGGTCGTGTTATCGGAATCTCTACACAAGAGTCATATTTGCCTTCTTTTATCGACATCCCCCCTGATGACGTCGTCAGCCGTTTCATGTAAACATCAGATGCAGTCGGGCTTTCAGAGACTTTGCGGTTGCGCCTAGCAGAGACATTTGGTTCCATCTGTCTCCCGTCTCGCTCAGGCAGCAAAGGAGCATCACTCCCGTCTTTTCTCGCCGTGCCGTCCACGTAGGGTTTCATTGTATCATCCACAGGGGCAACTGATGAAGCCAATGCGGCCGCGCAGCTGGCCGAAGACACCGCACTATGGCCGGCTGAGATGACTGTTGCTTGGGACAAGACACGAAAACTGAGACTCCGTGAAGACGGAGCAGCGGACGGTTCAGGATTCTCTTCGAGAAACCCAGAGTTCTCCAGAGCCCACACATTGGACGTGGAAGAAGCGGAACAAGCCGATGGCGCTAAGCCCTCGAGCGGCGAGTTTAAGTTCTGCACTGCAGCCCGGTCCAAACTGTCAGGCGTGTTGCCGTCAAAAATATGGAATTCAGAGAAGCGCATTCCCACCGTGCGTCTCCACTCCTCTCCAGCGATCATCGCCACCCACCTTGCGTAGCTTAGATCACGGGGGAAAAGGCAAAAAAAGCAAAAAATAAAATAAAATAAAATCAATAAGAAGCAGCATGCCAAACAAACAGACGCAACACTCCATACACACGTGCAATCTGAAAGTGACACCGTCGGAAGAAAAAAAAAAGAGGGGTTGTTTCCGTGAGATGTACACATGGCTGGCATGAATTGAACCTATTCAACTTGCCGCCTGCCCTCGCAAGCAAAATGTTGTCGGACATCATAGGGAACGCTCCCAGGAGGAAAAACCACAGGTGTCACACACCCACACATGACGCGCAACGGAATAATAAAAGAAATGCGGGTTTTAGGCCGAAAGCAGACTGTGAAGTTTTACCAATGACGAACACGCACACACACACACATGCACAAATATATATATTTATATAGAGAGAGAGAGAGATGAGGAGAAAGAGGGAAAGAAGGAAAACCAAAAGCACGACTACACAAAACGAGAAGGAAGGTTAAAAAAAAAAAAAGTGGAAGTCAAAAAAGAAAAAAGAAACGAAAAGAAAAGGTCAACAACAGCAGCAACAAATCATTCCTAACTATTTAATCCTCTAAATATTTCCATCCAAAACACCCACGCAAACCACATGCAACGCTCACCGAGTAATTGTGGCATGAAAAGCATCCAATTAAAAACCAAACAACAACAACAAAAAAAAAGCAGACGAAATTCAGCGTGCCCATATACACAAATACGGAAACAGGAGCTTCTTTGTATATTGAAAGAGCAAAACCAACACACCCCAACAATAATAATAATAATAATAATAATAATTAAGACTAAGCAGCAGAAGAAAGAAGAGAAAAAAAAAAAACTCAGGGGTAATAAAACTGGGGCAAGATTATCGCATGGTAAGGAAAAAAAACAAAAAAAAACGACAACAACAACAAAAAAAAAAAAAACACCTCGCGGAGAAGAATCGACCATCACCATCCACACCCCACGCACAAAACAAGAATAAGCACATCAGTAACAAATGAAGAGAAAAAAAAAAAATTTTAAAAAAACAACAGAAAACACATAGGTGGGGGCGGGGAGCAAAAAAAAAAAAAAGGGGTGGGTAGGAAGGCCCAAGAGCCTTGGAGAACGTTCAACATGATAATCGCAATAAACAAGCACAAAGCAACAAGAATAATAAATTTGCCCCCCTCTTCTCCTTTTTTCCTTCGTTGTTGTTGCTGTTGTCTCTCCCCCAATCCACCACCACCCCCTGAAAGCAACGCCCCACACCCAACACCCCACTCCCCAACCTTTACTTCGCAGAAAAACACCACAGACTCACTAAAAATAAGATGTGTGTGTCGTTCACCGGACGTACTTTACCCCGCCTCAGTCATAATTCAAAAGCATCCGCCGTTTTCTGTTTTCTTTTCTTTTCTTTTCTTTTCTTCATTCGCTCCTTGTTGAGGAACAAAGAGATCCCCTCTCTCAGCTTACGCAGCATAATCGGGCTTCGACAGAGAGCAATGACGAGGGAAAACACTCAAAAATACCGCGGCATCAACCTCCAGCACCACAAAAATGTCCACTGCGGCGAAATAATACAAGCAATAAAAAATCACACTGACACAGCCGTAAAAAAAGAAAAAAAAAAGATGCCTCATTTTACCGCTCCATCACGTCTTTCCGCCGCAACAGTACGGGACTCGGTGGTGGGAGGAAAAACAGTCACTGTAAAGCCGTCCTCGGTTTCAGAATCCTCTCCTCCTCCACCTACCTCCACCTCCAAGGCAGCAGGAGCCAAAAAGGTCATGTTGTCAATAATCTCACAGGTACCGACCTCTCCCGTACCCTCCACTTTTTCAGCACTCAATAAAACATCGCCTGCATTCACGTCAGCGTGATCATGAGGCTCCTGACCGGCCAATATTCCACTTAAATACCCTGCATTATCCAGAAGACGACGATAAGTATCACTGACTACCCCACAGCATGGTGGTAAAAGCGGAAGAGCATCCTCAAAGATCATCATCATCATCATCACTCATTGTCCTCTTCATCTATTTCCTCTTCGGCATTGTCTTCGTATTCCTCCACGCTTGGCTTAAAGCCCGGAGTTAGAGGCTGCTTCCCCTCATCTTTGCCTAATGATTGCAAGATTTGATTCGCCTGTTGCTCGCACAATGCGTTCCACGCCTTTGTATGTTGCAGGCCTTGTGATTTTGACAAATCCTCGGCCGTGGAGCAAGAAATTCCTCCAGGCCGTAATGGCTCAAGATCACTGTTCCTTTTCCCCACAAATGGCGGCGGTACCTTAATTATTTTTCCCTTCTCATCATCGTCATCATCATCCCTTTTTTGTTCATTTTCCATTCTTTCTTCTTTTTCGGCGGGAAACGCCATTTTCGAAGAGGGTCGTCGACGATATAGAAGACCCCTCAGGTGGTCAAGCATTGCAAGGTAGCCTTCAAGCGAGGGTTCGTTTGGACGGTCGGTAGAGGTCACACTGTTGTTAGCGCCATCCGGGTCATTGTTAGCCCGAGCATCATTGATACCGTCCACAATTGCCAACATGGCGGCACGCTCCTCCGTTTCCACCGAATCACGACGATCCAACCCAAACAAATTGGGTGGTGTGTTTGCATTACTGTTTGTCGCGGGTGATGACGGCAACTTGGGCGATGGATTACCGTCTTCACGTTGATTTTCCATATCTTCCGTATCAATCGGTAACGATAAGCCCAATACTGGCGTCGCGCTCGGCTGACTCACAGAAGAATTGGTTTCGTTTTTCTTTTTTTGTTTCGTTTTCAGCAATGCTAGCGATACACCGGGGCATTTTTCTACTGGAACATCCAAATCATCTGCCTCACCATCACGAAAAGTTCGAAGCACCTCAAGCGTACTAGGGATACTCAAAGGCATCCCATTTGCCTTTTGAAAGGCTATAAGGACATCATCATCGCCACTAAATACTTGAGTTTCTTGTGTTGCAGCCGTCTGCATTTGAGTAAACGCAATTCGGTGCGCGGCCTTGTAACCTGAATTGTTCTCAGCAACATTTCGCCACTGTTGCAATACATCGGGCTGTTCTGCACCTAAATCAGTAATTGATGGTAAGGCGGCTTTTAAACCGGTTCCCGGCACCTGAGACTGTTTCGTACCATCCTCTCGAGGTGAGGAAAAGCCGTAACCAATATCGAGGAGAATCGGTAGCCCCTCCCCTTGTGAGTTGTTATGGCTGAAACTCTCACGACGCACCGCTCCTGCTACTGGCGGTTCACGTGACTGTGGAGGCATCTTGACGCCAAGAACAGCTGGCATTTGCCCAATTCCAAGTTGTAATTGGGCCACAGCGGCACCGGTGCTTTGCGGCACACACTGCTTCGCACCCGCAGCCCGAGCAGTATTTGCGGGCAGTGCCCCATTTCCTTTAAATGGTGAAGAACTAAAATTTGGGGAACTACACTGCGGAAATGATGGCTGCATTTGTCGTATTTGAAGTGGAGCGAGAGCAATTGGCGGTGGTACTTCTTTTTTCCGTGGTTTCTCATCAACCCGATTTTCTTTGGCCAGCATAGACGCTACATCCAAGCGCAAAGGTGCCTTGGCATCGACAAGTTGACTATTACTGCTCTTTCTCCTATTATTGTTAGCGGGAGCTTCTAAACCGGTGTTTGGGGCTTGAAGCAACAATGCACCATCAGCTCTCTCAGGTCGCTCCTCCTGAAAAAGCTTCATATCCGCATTTTGCAAAAGTTGCCGACGCCTTTGCTCATATTGACGACGATCCTCCACTCCAGCAGGCAAATCCTCTTTCGAAATCAGGGATGGTTTTGACCCCAAGACCATCAAGCCCTTTCGGGGAGAATTGACCGGCGACAGGAACCCCTGAAGATGACGCTGTGGAGGTGATACGCCCTGTGGCATAAACCCGGCGGCAGCCGTAGGCCGAATCATTTGTTTGTTCCCGACGACTGGTGAACTAAAAGGCTTTGCATTCGGTGCGTTTGGATCGTCAATATGAGAATGCAATGGGACACTGCTGCGACGTACAAGCCTATTTGCTGGGCAACGTGTGGGTGCAGCAGCCTTCTTCCCTTTGTTAATTTCATCGTTCTCCTCAGCATCTTCACGGTTAGCATGAGAGCCCGCCACAGGCGAAGGAAGAACCGGTGCGGAAACAAGACGCAGCATTCCCTGCGGTCTTGCTTGTTGAAACATGGGTAGAGGTCCCCTTGCTGCTGACGGATAAGGTCGAGGGGCACCCGTGTCCGCGACTCTCCCACCTTTCGTTGAAGGAACCAAACCCGCCCCTCCACCAACTAACTGTGGAGGGCTCAACCTCCTGTTCATGTTGACGTTTTTGTCGCCACCCTTGACGCCAGCGGCCCCAGCAGCGACAGCAGCCGGCTGAGGAGATCGGGCCTCATCCTCTCGTGGCGACGGATCAAACGACGGATGCTGCCGGCTCCTGGGGGACGCAACCACAGGAATAGAATTCGCTGCAAAAACTTTCTTTTTGCCCGGTACGGCAGCCTCATGTCGTCGCCTGTTAGCATTATTATTGTTATTTCTAATAGGTTCGGCTCGTTGCAAAGGTGTAGGTGATTCCATTTCCTTAACGGGTCGATGCACAAACCGCGGATCACGCCCAAATACAGCGTGTTGTTGTTGCTGTTGTTTCCGTGGTGAGTATGGAGAACAATTAGCAGCAGCAAAAGGGACTTGCACAGCCAGAGGATTTTGGTGAGCCACTTTCTGTTGTTGTTGTTGCTGCTGCTGCTGCTGTCGCTGTTGATGCAACAAGTCGCCTCGAGCAATGATATTTTGATGTTCAATAACCTTCGCAATCTCCTTCCTTCGCATTTCCTCTCTTTGCTGAATACGCTCTTGTTTTAACTTCTGCCGCTGCAAGTACTCCTCTTGTTTGCGCTTCATGTATGCTTGAATTGTCTCACGCGATTTGGGGTCTACATTTTGGGCGTACCGCTGCATGATGGCGTCAATACGTTGCATTCGCTCCTTGAAACCCTCAGCACCGGCGCCGTTCCCCGCAACCTTTTGCCTGGGTGAGTCATTCGGATTCTGGTTTCGATGTTCCACAGCAGCTGGCGCTAAATTCCGTTGCTGCGGCTGCAGCTGTTGTTGCGGTTGTTGTCGAAGAAAAGGAAGTGCTGGAACTGGTTGGGGTGCATAGGCGGGAGAAACACCCCCACCAACACCATTACCATTGCCGCCAGGAGCAGGAGCGACATCTTTGTTATCATTCGCCTCTTTTTGATAGTGCTGCAACAAATATCGTCGGTAGTTTTCAATGCGGTTGTGGTCAACAGCCAAAGGCGCCGCGCCGGGTTTAGGACCAAGAAGTGCAAAGTTTCCTCCAGGACGTTGCGCAAGAGCCTCCACGGCAGCTTCGGCACCTGGCGACAGGCGTTGCGGAGATCGATGTGGTGCTTGTTGATGTTCATTTTGTTGATGAGCCATCGCCAAGGCTGCCGCTTTCCCGGGGGACATTTCTAATGGCTTAGAAGATGGCGACGGATACCGCTGCGGATCTCGCCCCTGTTTCACTTGTTCCCAGGCCGCATTATTGTTGTTGGCATTATTATTCTCCCCTCCAACCTCAAAATCTATAATGTCTTTAAGCCGTACCTTACATTGGGTGGCGAGCATAAGATTTTCCTCAAGTTGTTCGAGTGAATGCCGTATAATAGGAAGCGAGAGCGTCTGTCTGATACTGGGTCGACGTGAAGGATCCTTCTGCAGGCACCAGTCCACCATTTTGCGAAAATCAGGGGAGAAGTGCGACGGTAATGGCGCATAGGAACCTTTTACAATGCGCTGCATTAGTTGCTGCATACTATTCCCGTCGAATGGATGCTTCCCCGTGGCCAGCTCATAAAGAAGAACACCAAGTGCCCACACATCCGATTTGTTATTGTACGGTTTGTTGCGACATATTTCAGGCGAGAAATAGTACGGTGTGCCACACACTGTGTTCGCCATGCCCATTGTGTTGCGCAATACGGTAGATATGCCAAAGTCCCCCAGTTTGACAGATCCATTTTTCATGAGGAACACGTTCATTGCCTTGATATCACGGTGAAGAATGTGACGTGAATGCAGATATTCCATCGCAAGGCAGACCTGTGAATAATAGTACAAGATGGTAGATTCCTTCATGGGCCCCAATTTGACTTTGGCGTGAAGGTCGCCCCCATCGCAGTATTCCATTACAATGTATAAGTTATTTCGGTTTTCAAAGTGCTCTACGTAGCGTACAATGTTCGGGTGGCTTAGTTGCTGCAACAGACGGCACTCGTGACGTGCTTCCTCTCGTTCCTTTTTACTCATCTTTCCCAAAAAGACCTCCTTGATGACGAGAAGGGCATTGTCGCTGCGCCGCTTGATGAGGATGGCACTGCCAAAGCTACCTTTCCCAAGCACACGTATTTTCGTGTATTTCTCCATCTGTCTTCCCACGCAGCCAAACTAATAATAACAACTATTATTATTATTATTATTATTATTACTAGTGTGATAAAATAGGGACGCTCTATCTTTCCCTCTCCAACTGTACCTCCCGTTTTTTTTTTTTTTTCCTTCCGCTGTCGCCTCCCTCCCCTCTTTCTCTCCCTCTCCCTCTCTGTGTGCAGGTATGCGTGTTTATTTTCCTTGCTTTTTTGTTGTTGCGTCCTTCCCTTCCCTCTCTATCCCTCTTCTTAATATATATATGTATATATACACCCTGTTTGCTTACCTCCGCCTCCTCCCTATACTCCCTTTTATTATGCGTTGTGTGTCGCCAGCGTCCTCGCTCCGCCCTTCAGACTGAAAACGGACCGTAGCGCGGCCACAGAGGAAGTGCAAGCGTATAGTTTTTTGTTTTTGTTTTTGTTTTTTTCGTTTTTCCTTGGGACCGGTAACCGTTTCGAAGAAGTTCTCTGTTGTCCGCTCGAGATCCCCCGCACAACAACAAATAAATAAACCGGTGCGGGCACGGAAGGATGGGAACCAAAATGAGCCACCGCACGCACACAGAACAAGACCTTTCTCTCTACCCTCAAAGGAGATTGTAATAGATCTACGTACGTATGCCAGCAACCAGCACAAAAACTACACGGTGTGTGCATAGGTATGAAAGGGGAAAAAAAAAAAAAACGACAGAAGAAAGTTGACAGGAAACGCAAATTTAAAAAAAAAAAGAGAGGGCGAAAGGCAAAGAGATGTGAAAAGGACCGTCACCAGCCGCCGTCTCCCAATGATGGCGGCAAAAACACCGTAAAGAAATATGGGTCCAAACTGCAATACAAAAAAGGCAGCGAGAAAGGGAAAGAAAAAAAAAAAAAATACACGACAATAAGAAATAAATAATAGCATCAAATAATAATAAAAATAAAAAAATAGGGCTCGGTGTTTCTCCCATCATTCCACCCTCTCCATTTCGGTATGATGTTCTTTTCCCTCCATCATTTTGTTTTTGTTTTCATATAATAATAATAATAATAATAAGCCCCGTTGCTAATAAATTTATACGCACTTTCTTTAACTTTTCCTTCTTGCGTGTGTGCCCAAACCGCGATGCGTCTATGTATGCGCATCCCACTTCTCCACCGCCACCACATCCACCACTGCGCCCTATTATTAATCACAGTACAGCACCCAAGTGAATGCGTGAAACAATTCCCCCCCCCCCCCCCCAAAAAAAAAAGAAAAAAAAAAGAGGGGTTGCATTGCCTCATTTCGGCCCATTTAATATATAAATCCATATTATTATTCATACGGTAACGTTAAGCCTCAAGAGAGAACAGCGTAAATAAATGGAGGCACACAACGAGGCGCAAAAGAAAATTTTTTAAAAAAGGAGAAAAGAATGTTGGAGAAGTGAACGCATGCGTATATGCACAGACAGATGGTTCCCTTGATATGCATCGAAAAAGTGAATGGAAATCCAGAGAAAGCGGTGTATCTCACACAGCGTATACAAAGGTTCAAGAAAAAAAAACGCACACATAAAAAGAAAGAAAGGAAAAAAGACAAAACACAAATGTATTCACCATGGCGCCCATCCGCTTCACACCTCAATGCGTTTAATTAATTCTCCTTACTTTCATTCCTAATCCTTTCTTTTTATTTACCATCATATGCAGATGTATTGCATTGAAATGCTATTTCTTTCTTCGCCACTATTTTTATGCCAATCCACTCGTCTTTTTTCTCTGAACCTCTTCGCATACGCAAAAAATGTCTTCTCCCACGCGTTATACGGGCGTACTAGCCGGAGCCACCGCGCATCCAGAATCCTCCTCCGACCCCTCTACGCGGGTTGGCTCCAACTGCACCACGCCGTATCGTGTTAGGATGCCAGAAGGCGCCAATCGATTTTCAAAATGCCCACCAGACATTCCGCCACCCACACCAAGATCGTTTTTGTGGGTAGTACCGTTTTGTTCCTGTGGAGGTGCAAAAGCTTGCCCCAATGGCCTCTCACGCGGAGCGTTTTCTTTTGTATTGGCAGATTGCTGCCGCAGGCGACGTTTCGCAAAGTGCAGGGCACGCCTATAATGTGTTTCAATGCAAAACGAAGCTGCCAGAACAGCCACAATGGCCAAAGCAAAAACAAGGAACAGAGTTCTTGCCATCTTGTTGCTGTGCCTGATGTGCCTCTGTGGCACCACACGTGGGGTGTACACGTCACGGTCAAAACGTGATGCTGATGAAATTTGCGCCGAGACAGGGATTATGGCAATGTGTTCCTCCACCCACGAGTCACTGACATCATCGGTAGAAGTATAACGCACGCCTGCGTGGAGGTAAAACGTCACACGAACTTTACTGCCACGATGCAAAAGTGAACCTGGAATAAATGCGAAATGAAACGGTTCTGTCACACATTCCTTCGTTTGGTTGTCGGATTGGCACGGCTGGAGATAAATGCGACGGTAATGTAAGAATGCGGCGTACTTCTCCCACCGCAAGTACACCGTTGAATTTCCCACTGGGGTCTCGCCCATCCATCGTCGACGCTCCCCCTCTTCTCCCAATTCACCACCGCTCATTATATCCGGCGAAGATGCTCCATCCAGCAGAAAGTACAACTTTGATTGCCCATTCCTACTATTCATTTCCTCGGATTGAAACACACCCAAAACGTCCTCTGCATTAACAGAAAGAACAAGGTATTCAAGCGACATTTTCGCAATAGTTGATGAATCCAGAGGCCTCGCTTTATCATGTAACGTCACATATACCCAGTCTGTTACTCCGTACAGCTGTTCATTCGAAGCAGCGCAGAGAGACAATTTTACAGTTGATGATCCAGAAGTATCACCATCCTCATTAACTGTGGTGGCTATGCTATTCAATACGACACGCCCCGGTCGATGGGGCTCAACATGTGAGAAACAAAAAGCGTCTGTGTGTAAAGATTTTGGAGGGCCGTAATACGGCTTCCCTTTGGCTTTGCCCTTCTGATCCAAAGGTTCACTAAGGATGTCATTTAACAGCTGAGTGCTGTTAAATGGTTTAGCAGGGACTGAACCACCAAAAACATCAGGCACAGGCCAGTACGCGGATGAGCGGCAGAGCACACGGTGTGCGATGCTGTTAACACTTGTAATGTATGTAACCTGCCGCACATTGATAATAATGGTCTCAGAAGAAGCAAATTTTAAACGTATCGCAAATGACCCTTCGGGATATCCGGTGGCAGATTGCGCCGTCCCACTGCCAATCACGCGTGCTACAAGAGAAATGTTGACAAATTGTCCCCCTCCCTTATTGTTCAAGACAAACTGTGGAAAGAGAGATACATTTCCTACCGGCTCAAAGCGGATAATGGAATCACAGTCAAGGTCAAGGCCAGACCCAGTACCCTCACATGCCACGGCCTTTCCAGTACATTGGGCGCAATCCTGTAGGTTTGGGGTCCTCCACGAGGCATTCAGAAGTTCCAACGCCGCAACACGCAGCTTGGCGGCGTTGACGTGAACCAGCGTTGGCACGCTGTAAATAATTTGGGAGTAATTTAATTGGTACGGATATATCAGAAATGAGTAGCCGTAAAGACGTTCTCCCGTCCTTGGGTCTTCTCCTGCAGCGAATTGCACATCGACAGAGACATTGAAGGAATCCTGAGCAAAACCGTCAGACTGCATGGAGAAGTCCATCGACGATTTAGTTCCTGATTTCATCCGTCGTGTTTTATCCTTCTTCGTTTCGGGTGTCGCTCCTTTTTGAGCCCTTGACGAATAGTTCACATGAGACACTTCAACACTGGTGCCGATGGAGTAGTCGATTGAAATACGTACCGTGTACACTCGCGACATGGACAAAATACCGTTGTAGGGTGGTTCCCAACTCGCTGGTTTGACAACCTGTGTATAAATCGTGCCCACTAGCAGACTTTTATTCACGACGTTAAAAAGTGGTTCGTTTGTCGCACTATTACGTAGCGTGCGAAGACGGTTAAGAGAAACATTCCCCACCCACGTGGCATCGCAATTATTCACATACAATTTCCAATCAATGGCAGATACCGCGTCCTTGTTTTTGGGGTCTGAGGCATCCATAACAGAAGCAGGCGTGAGCATTGGGGCGTACTTGCACGGATCGAGGCGATACACATCGCAGTCTTGATGCTTTCCGCCAAATTTCTGAAAGTAATTCTCTCCACTCTTGTACTCCCCTGACACGGTATTGAGATGACCATGCAAAAGGGTCCCACCGTCGGGTTCAGAGTCATCATCCCAGGTCCAGATGGATGAGGCAACTCCAGATTGTGCCTGCTGATCAAGGCATGTCGCATTGAAAGAGGGATGCGCACCTTTGGGTACCTGGGCTGACGTCAAAAATGCGCTCTTCGGGTTTTCAACGGGTATGAATGTCACAAATCGGGCAGCCATATTACCAATAATTGTATATGCCCGCAATAACAACGAGTTCCCCTCCACACTAACCTCAAAATCCATATCATCCGGTGACTTGCCATCGTGGCGGGGCGTCAATTGGCTGCGGTTCCCCTGTGGCCCATCGGTAACATCAAAAAGACCCGGATAACGCGGTGAAGAACGCCATGCGGAGACGTCACAGTTACCCTTGCAAACAATCTTTCCAATTTCATATACATTGGATGGGTACTCCGGTGTCGGGGCGGATTTGTTGCAAGGTTGCATTGTGGCAGTACCATGGCATACATTTTCTGTCTCACATGTGAGCGCAAACTCAAAATGATCAATTGATTTGCCAAACGGCTCGTATTGAAAACTTCCCGTCGTACTGTTGAAATTATTTATTGTCCCATTACGTGTTGGCGCTCGCAACTCGGCATTGGTGTAATTATTGCTGGGGCAGAAAGAAGCATTTTCACCACGACTGGATTCCAGAAAAAGGTTGTATGTGCCTGGCACGTCACTCTTTTCACCGTCTATTCCATAACTGAACACAAAATTTCCCGGGCATATGACCTCTTCTTTTGGAGAAGGTGGCGGTGGCGGCGAGGGCGCGGATGTTATAAGAATTCTGGCATGTCCTGTGCACAGTGGTCGACCAGCCTCACCAGCGTCGGTTGTACAACCAATGACGAACACAAACGCATCGGAGGTCACATTTGGTCCATTCGGTGCGGTGTAATTAAACTGACCAGTGGTTCTGTCCAGTCGGAACTTTTCCGCATTGTATTTCGGCAACGATATGGGAGTAAAGACGGCCTTTTGCCCAGCCGGACAATTATCCTCTGCGTGTGGTGTAATCGTAAAAAGGACGCTCTGCGAGAAAGCCAAGTGAAAACCGTATTCATGGCTGCAGTTGGTCGGGGAAGGGGGATTCACAACGAAAAAAGTTGCCTTGACATTAAAGCAAGACGCCACCTCGTTGCAGTAGACGGTAAGATTGACGCTAAAAACACCCTCTTCTTGGTTCTCACTGCGACGATCAAACCAGAGAGTGGTGCCATTTTCAACGGAAAAATATTTATTCTGCTCGTCACCCACATTGCTGATGACAATCCGCCGCGGAGCAGCGCAGTTGCCCACGTAACTCATTGGTTCAATACGAGTGGGGACCATGACCTCTGTCTTTACTACTGGAAGGATACCACCAGGAGGACATGAAGGTGCAACTGGAGCGGGTGCCTTACTTTTGTTGTGTGTGGTGGTGGTCGTCGTCGTCGTCGTCGTCGTCGTCGTATCGTTCGTGACTTCCCCTTTCGCTGTTCCGTGTACAACGTAGTACACAGAGGCCTTTTCACAGACCGGCGTGAATACATCGCACATAACACTCAATTCCTGTGAAACGTAGCGCACCTCTTCCTTCGTCAGGCCCGTGACGGTGGGCGTAAACTGCACGACAAGATGATGGACGCTGGGAATAACAAGACCTGGTAAAATGGGAGGAAGCGCTTTAAGCGTAAAATACTTACCAACACATGCGTCAGGTTCCCATTCACGCTGCAGCACATTGGTTGAAGTCTCGCCCTCATCGACGCCGAATATCCATGCACATTGCGGGAGCGCAGCAGTGGAATCAGCAAAGAGAAAGAAAAAAGCCAGAAATAAAAAAGCCAATCTTGCGTAAAACACACCACGAGGCAATATTTTGATAAATTTGCCTTTCTCAACAAACCCACGTCTCCTTGTTGGGTTCCTCATTATTTCATCTGCACTTGGAAACTGCTCCATCTAGAAAAGATATGACGCACTATCTCTTTGCTGTTTGTATATATATTTCTTGCTCTTGTTGTTGGAGTGCTTCACTCAGCCTACAATCTCCTTTTACCCTGTTTATAAAGGTGTCTTTCCGTGTGTGTGTGTGTGTGTGTGTGTGTGTTGGCGGGAGTGGAGGAAAAGGGGAGGGTTGTTGGTTGGATTGTCTGCTGTTCCTCCACTCCGTGTGCAGATTTTCCTTCTTGTACCGTTTTATTCGCTCGAACACAACGGTGTACGTGGCCACTGGACGGGGTGCAAGCAGAGAACCGGACCAATCAATCCCCCTCTCCTCGCTCCTCTTCTCCTCTTCTCCTCTACACCTCAATTTACTTCACGCATTGAAAAATAAGACAAAATAATAATAAATAAATAAATAAAGCAGATAAATGTGTAATCAGGGCCCTTCTTTCTTTTTTTTTTTTTTTAGTCTTTTGTCAACTGTTGTTGTTATCAGCATCGCCTAATGAATTAGGCTCCACAAGCAACTTGTCATCCCCCAGCCACCGCGCCCACATTAAAAAAAACACACAAAACTCTGCCAAAGGCATATTTCTCTTTATGCTTCTTCTCATTCCTTCATTCCCTCCAACGGCACATCTATCCGCGGCCATCCCACACTTCCACTTCATCGCCAACCGTCCACTCTGTCCGTTCGCACAACTTGGGCTAAACGATCTCTCTCACGGCTCAATGCCGCACTCCATGAAACCATTGACTATCACCGAGAGCGACAATGAGACGTGCCCAAGCAGTGGGGCAGCTTTCAGCAAACCGCGATCCTCCCCGCTGCACAGAAATGTCGGATCCCGCAGCTCCAATCGCTCTCCTGTCCACCACCCAATCCACGCCAGTTTTCGTGTGTTGGGCACCAACTGTAGCAGGGGCAGCTTCTTGCGATAAGTACCGCTACGCAACGGAATAAAACAACGACTGTATGACAAACACTGCTCCCCACCACAAATTCCACTCTCTGAGTGCGGTGGCTTATTCGGCGGCAATACGCGTGAAATAGTGTGCAGCGTCACCACAAGTTGTGGCCATCCATGTGGGTTCGTGCCACGCAAAGCGCACTCAAACGGGGCTGACCACGTAAAACGTGCAAATGGGTCGTTGGAGGACCAGGAGAGCTGTGTGATCACCTCGCTATGCGTCTGACGTTCCAGCGGTTTCACAAGCGGCGAGGCAGTAGAAGGCTCTTCGCTGTGTGACACGCTCGTCAACGGCGTCCAATCTGTGCCATGTACCCAGTACGTGCGTGCAAAGAGAGCGTCCGCCTCGTGGCACTCCGCACCCTCCAGTACACCCCGCACAATGACGTCAATCCTCTTTGACGCCACGGCCCTGGCCATCACTGGCGGCACCGCCAAAGTTGCATCGGAAACAGAGGCAGGGACGGATCGCATTGCTGAAGAGTCTTTCGAGCGACGAGTATGACGACGTTTACTGTGAGACCTTTCCTCCTCATGCAGGAGGGGCGGCCCCGCCTCGGATGCTCCTTCCCTTTTGTTGCTCTCCATCGTGCATCCCTGGCAGGAGAAAAAAAAAAGGGAGGGAGGGACATTCATGCGCAGTGAACGACGGTGTGGATATCCCCCTGGTTCATTTAAGCAATTGACGCACTAATACCCCACTACGGCTCGGCACGATTGTTTTTTGTTTCTGTGGCACAAGCCTGCCAATCACCCCCAGCACACTCTACCAGTGGACATGAATGAACAAGGTGAAAGCCCACAAGGCAATCCGCATTCAAATCTCGATAATTCCATGCAAATTCACACAATGCGGACATAAAATAAGCGCCACGCACACACACAGAAAGAAAAAAGAAATCCGCATCTAAGAAAAAAACAAAACCAAAAAAAAAAAAAAAAAACGGACGAAGGGAAGCAGTCACTCCCCCAACACTTCCTTCCATCCCGTCATAAGGGTAAAAGACATGTGGATCCGCCTCGTTCGCACCACTATGACCACCGCCAGAAAGCAGCCAGGAAAAGAAGCAAACAGCATGTGGTAAGCAAAAAAATGTACAACAAAAAGATCCACAGGCCCTGCAGTTCTCTCCGCCGCCACCCACCTGGACCAGACGCGAAGAAGAAAGACGGCAGAGACCCGTACGGAAAGGAAACGGCAGTCTTCACATTTTCGGCTCCGTTCTCAGTAGCAATTACGCCACTCAACCACTGTCCGTGTTTCTCTTTTTGCCACGATGAAGTGTTTGCTTCGTCTTCATGAATATACTCCAAAGAAGAAACTGCGTTAACCACCGTTGGTGAAGAAGAAATATTACCGTAATAGACGCCACTGGTCCTTCCTGTGTACGGGGCATCCGTAGAGTTTCCATCTCCATCCGCAGTATTCCCTTCTGCAGAAAAGGGGCATGCTAAACCACACAATGGATCTTCATTTTCAGTCAATGGTGCGGAAGAAAAAAAATGGGATAAAGGTCTTGCAAAGCTAATGTGCTTCTCCCGCGCCACAGCCTGTTGAGGTGCCATTCTAGAATTCCCCAGTGGCGTGCCTAAAGAAGAAATGAATGAGCCTAAATTCCAATTTTGCTCCGCCCTCTTCACACATAGCGAGAGCCGAAGCAGACATACCTCCATCTCTTGTAGTTTTTCTGCGTCTAAAGAGCCATACAACGAGCGATGCTCTTGTACAAAATTGAGCAGCGCATCACGTCTAGACCTTGCTGTTGCAAGCCACGCAACTGCAAATTCATCGTCTATTTTTACGTCACATGGTCGGAGCTTCTCCTCGTACCATCGAATAACAGCCTCATGCTCCCGCACCACATCTTGAGCGTAGGATGTATGCAGCGGCGACCATCGGTAGTGCGGCAAGCAGAACACAGGTTGGTCCTGCAACTGGTGCAAGGAAGGACAAGAAGCAGATGGATGACTTAAGTCATTCCACAACGCCGGTTGCGACCTCCTTTCGCGCTCATGGTTTCTGCAATCATGTTGTGAAAGCCTGTTTGTGTTCGCAGGCCGTTCAGCCAGCGAAGGCGCCAGCGGTGATTGCCTCTTCTCCGCCTTTTCTTGACGGCAGACACCACCCAGACGGCGGCATCCCCCCGGTCCACCTGATCGCGTCGAGGTAGAGCGTGGTCTTCGCTTCCGCATAAAGAAATTTAAAAAGAACGTCTAAGCTGCAGCAGCCTCCGGTGCCCTTTGCCTGCGCTGAGCAACTTAGAAAAAAAGATAAAGAGAAAAACAACAACAACAAAAAAAGCGTAGTGTTCCTTGTAAATAAACCCCACGCCACGCAGCAGAAAACAACAAGGGGCGATGACGCGAAAGAGGAAAAATTGCGCCTTTACGATAAGTATTGTGTTCTCACCCTCTTTTTTTTTTTTTTTGTGTGTGTGTGTTTTTGCCCCTTTGCTCGAATCCAATTCTCCGTCAAAAAAAACTACGGGAAATCATAATGAACAGAGTATCAGGGTTAAGATCGCCTTAATTTACACCACACAACGGCGTCCCACTCACGCATTTGCCACAATTCAGAAATGCATACATTATTATACATAAATCGCCAAAGGAGCTTTCAATGACGTCACAACCCACAAACTTGAGAAAAAGAATTCAAAAAGACCCGGTCACCCAGAGAAAAAAGACTCACATTTGTTAAACATCCCTTCTTCTTCCTCTTTAATTTCTTCAGAGCCCCCTTGGGACACTGCTACTTGCCCTTTTTTGTGGAAACGGAAGGCAAAGATGGAAGAGGGCGACGCAGCATGCGACGAAGTTCATTCATAAGTATGCGAACATTCGTACTGGGAGGCTCCGGTACCGCTGACGAGAATTTCTGTTCCTTTCTATCCCGAGGAAAACGCTCATGAGAATGCTCTGACTGCTTCCGCCTTTGCTGGCCCCTCTGTCCCTTCACTTCTCTCTTATTCGCATGCTCAGTGGGGTCAGGCAGAGGTGTCTCTTTCTCCTTGGAGCCCCCACAAGAATCCTCAACAGGGAATTCCTGCACCACAACCTTTTTTGGTTTAATTTTCCCCCACTTCTTTGGGCCTGACGCACGCTCCCCTTGCAGAGGCACACCCGTCATGAACACGACGTCCTGAGGAGACACGCTTCTCTCTGATGAGGACTCATCCATCTCGTACTCTCCCTCCGTCCCCGAGCTCTGCATGTCCACTGGTTTGGGTGTCACAACTTCTTCTCTTTCTTCTTCACTCTTCTTTTCCATTTCTTCCTCTTTTGTGTCGTCAGCCGCCTCTTTGGGCACCGCAATATCGGCCATCTGCCTCCGCCTTCTTCCGCGTGATGTAGCATACCGGCGCCTTCTAAGCCCAGGGCGCGACAAGGGCGGATCCTCTAGGAGACGATAAATGTCCATAAATTCATTGTAATTTGGCAAAGTGACGAGACCCGTCTTAGGATGCACCAACCGTGACAGGTGCCCCCCGTCTGCCGTCATACGCCTTTGATTCTCACTCTCCATTGTCGTTTGGCGCCACTTGGAGCAGAAGTAACCCGGCTTTTGCTTCTTCATCACCGTATCTTCAAAAATAAGCTCCACAAATCGCAGCAGCAATGGGGTTGGAAGTTCTGGTAGAGTGCCATCACGGCCCAAAGTCGCTGTGCCCCGCGAGGGTGGCGGTTCTGCATCGCCATACCAAAAAAGATTGTTGATGGTGCTGCCACCCCCTGCCGATGGGGAAATGAATGGAGTATACGGCCTATCGGATACGGAACCACTGAGGTGGGCGGCATCGCCCTCGCTCTCAAAATTTTCGGTTTGGCATCGTGAAGAAACCTTTGAGCCAGACGTCATCCTGGGCCGCTGCCATGAACTAATAAGACTGCCCAATCCATGGTATTCACTCCTGGTCATCTCTTTTTCATTGTCCGTCTCACTTTTACATTGTTGCCTTGTGTGCAGCATTGACGTGTCTTCATATGGAACGTCGTTGCTAAAACGATTCATCGTGCTAAATTCACCCTTGTTGAGAGTCTGCAGGCCGGCTTGCTCCCAGTAAAGATTCATTACCGCCTGCGCAAAGACCGAATGCGCCGCGCCACGCTCTTTACTTTTGCGCGCAATGGGGTTTCCTGCAAGCATCACCCGTTGTAACGTCCGCACCAGCTCCGTAAGCGCTACCACGTTCCGCACACCTCTAAAACGGTTGTACCCCAAACCAATCACCTCTATTGATGGAAAACAAAGCCCACGTCCATTTTTCACGGAAAGCGGTGGCACATGACGCAGTTCGTTATGATTCAGATTCACCTCAATAAGCGCCGGCATTGTAGAAAGTGCTGCAAAGACGGTATTGCCATCTCGAAAATGATTTCGCTCAAGTGCAAAATGTGTCACACCTGTAAGATCCGCAAGGTCTTCCGGCAAAACGCGCAAATTATTTCCACTCAAGTCAAGTTTTTCAAGAAATGGAAAGTATGCTAGATGCAAAATGTCCGAGGAAGGTATCTTGTTAAAGGAAAGGTTCAGAGCATGTAATTTTGGCAAAAGAACATCATGCATACTGCACTCTGAAGGTTGGCAAGGAAGTCCCGCTGTTTTTTGGTGTGGCGAGTAATACCCGGTGTTCTCAGCCGCATGAAAATTGCTTTTGACATCCTGTTCTCTCATTATTGGTGTAGGGCATCGTACACCATCGTTGGAGTCAATAGTTGTCTTTTTCTTTTCTTGAGCATAATAAGCTGCAGCACTCCTAATGGATCTACTGCCGTGCACCGCACTGTCCATGGCACCAACACCGCTTCCACGGACACCGCCACGATTGAGGTAAGCGTTGCTACTATTTGTGGATTGCAGCCGTTGCTCCATGACTACCCGTGCAACGCCTGCTAACGAGTCAATCTTGTTATATGGGAGATGCAGCACCTCAAGACCGGTCAAAAAGAGTAGGTGCTCCAGCAGAAGCTCATTCTCACTCACATCAAGAAAGCGCAGGTTCTGAAAATGAGTTAAGTCGTCCTCAATGACACCAACGAGATGAGTATGCTGCAGCGTTACTTCCTCCACCGCCTCCGGCTCTGGCTGTCCGCTCGCGCAAAGAAGAAGATAACCGTCAAGCAAAACATGGGATTGCCGTAGAGGGGCCTCCATGAGATTGAAAAAAAATCGTGCCTCCTCTTCATCTTCCGTTGTTTCAACGGCCAACAATTGTCGTTGTGTGCGCAAACGTTCTTGGATAAGACGCAAACTCGGTGCAGGAGGCAAACGAAAGTAGCTACGCAACGACCGCTCCACCGCACTACGGCCCTTAAGGATACGAAATCCCTGTGGATGAACGACTCGTGCCTCAGGAAGCGGCACATGACGACCCGATTGTCTAAACAAAAGATCCTCGCTCGTTTTGACCCGCGCACGGCGTGAAGTTGTATCTTGCGGCACAACACCACCAACAGGAACAAATTTGTCCGATTTGCCATTCATAGTGCCAATCGGCGACAGACGACACTTCGATGATGATGCCACGGAGCTCAACAGTGAATTCCCCGTACAATCAGGAAAACGAGAAGAAAACGGGAACTCCACATTTTGTACCCGCGCAACCGGCACAGAGGCGTGCAAATCCCACGAGTGTTGCTGATATCGATAACATTCTTCTGGCATTTGTGGGTCTGACGGAGAGAACCGCTGCCATAAGGCCGCACTCTTGTAATGCCGCCGCGGGATTTTTGGCCCCGCAGCAGCTGCGCCCCATATTGTAGGGGCCACCTCGTTGTGATCCACATTCCCCCGCTGCCGCCGTGCATCGGCGCCCCCCTGAACATAAGCTCCGGCGGGATTCAGCAACCGCAAGTTGGGTAGGGGCGAAGCCACGACGCGCTGCTCCTCCTCACCAGCCCCGCTCATTGGCCGCAAATTCCCTCCTCTTTCAGTCACACACTCTCCGGGACTTCTCCTCCTCCTCCTTTTGCTACTCGATAGGCTCTACAATAAAAAAAAGAGAATCCAGACATAAGAAGAAGCAGAAGAGCATACCTCAATTCTGGCAATGCAGTGGCTGCGGCAGAGGCAAAGAACAAAAGCAGAAGATAAGAAACATATGTCCACGCCCATCAACAGAAATTATTTCAAATGGAAAAAATATACCAAACCATCAATGCTTCTCCTCGCCTCAAACCACTCTAAAAGACAAAAAGAAAGCACAGTGTTGGTTTGACTTAGCTGTCACCACGGAAAACAACAAAAACAACAAAAAGAAGAGGAAAAAAACATTTAAAAGCCGGTCACATTTCCTCGCCTTGATAGAACACTTCGTCAGGGAATCGGGAGTCTTGTACATTCTGCTCCGAATACATATATATGTAGGACGCCTTTCAGACCATTTTCCTTTTCATTCCATTCTTTTTCTTTGCATTTCACATTACCCTCCGCATTTTGTCTTCTTTTTTTATTCCTTCATTTTCCCTCCTTGTCGTTGTTCTTCACATCTTCTCTCTCTCTCTCTCTCTCTCTCCATTCTTCTCTCATACAGAAGAATTATCTGCCGGGATTCACTACAATCCCGCGACCTCCTCCTCAATGCTCTCGTGGTTTCCGCCTTTGCCTTTGGCAGAAGCTGCCGCGGCGTCTTCAACGAGAAACTCAGCGACATTTCGACCATTTGCGGCACACACCGCCTCTAGCAAATCCCGCTCCACAAAAAACCGCGGTTGCACGGCATGCTTCAACATACTCTCCATGACCCTCATCGCATCCTTCGCTGACCGAGCGTTTTCATAATAGTAACGCACAAGAAGTGCAAAGACGTCTCCGATTCGAATGGCCGCCAAAACATTCGCACTGTCCTGGTGACTTGGTCGAGAGCGTTTGATGAGGTCAGAACAAACAGCGATAAGCTCCTTCGCTTTCTTCTCGTCAGATGCGCTGTCAACAAGTAGTTTCAGCGCCATCACTACCTGTTGGACAATATCACGGCGCGTTCGAAGACCCTCCTCTTTTGCCATAATACTGCTGCCTCCATACACAGCGTCTCGGTTACGCTCCAAAACTTGCACACATTCATTAAGCGCACACCACGCCTCGTAATAGTTGCGGTTTTCGTCAATCTGTAGTTGAGCAAAGGCATCAATAAAAGAGATAAGGTTACTAAAAGCTTTTGCCTTCGTGTAAAAAAGAACGATATGTTTGTAGATATTTGAATCCGTGTGCCAGTTCTGGGACTGCAAAAAATTCCCCGCAAGAGTGTAAATTTCCGTATTTCGAGAGTGACTCGCAAAAAAAATGACCTTCTTTACATCACCCCCACGCATCAACATCTTCATTGCCTTCAACCGTTCACCAATCTCTGTGTACTTCTTACAGGCAAGGTTCCAGTTCCCCTGGTCCTTTGCAATACCGGCAATCTGCCGCAATAACGCGTTCCGTTCCTCCCCCGATAGGTTTGAACAGTTTACATCTGAAGACATCGACTCCGCCATTTCATCTGTAAGTGTCACTCCGTGCGAAGTGCAAAGTTCAAGAGCGCGAGGAAACGCCTTTTGCAATATGTACATTTCTGCCG